AGTTTACTCCTTTACTTTTACGGTGCCGCAAGCCCCCTACCCTACCCTACCCTACCCTACCCCGACAGCATGGATTAAACTGAACTTGGTAGCCACTGAAACGCTTGCCCGGTCTCAGAAGTATCCTGGCAGTACTTCAAAACCACGCTTTGGTTTTCACTATGTGCCTCGTGTCTCGATCTGCAGGAGAGTCTGTACGGCAGGCAGCTGGCGTGGAGCTTCAGCTCCTACCTGGACAAGACATCTCAGGTCGCTGCGGCAGGCACTGATTCACCAGGCAAGCTGTCAGGCTTCCTGCCAAGGCCGCAAGCTCCGCTGCCGTCGACCGCGCCGCCCGCCGCGCCTACCATGACAACCCAGACGAGCGCAAAGAATGGTGGTTGCAAGGGTTCTGGAGCCTGCACCAATCAATCGGCCACGCAGCAATCCCCGGATGTCGGCTTCCCAACATGTCGTACGCTGCTAGCTTTTGGATCCGTTTCGGACGTGCCACAGCCGCCATCGGTGTCGATGCCACCGCCACCGTGCACTGCCCCGTCTATTCAGCCACCGCCTCTGGATACGCCGTTTGGCTGTTCATTTATGGCAACTGCTGCGGCGTACAGGCCTGCCAAGGCGTTGGCCCAGCCAATAACAACCCTTGTCACACAGCTGCAGGCGATTAGGCTGCCTGGCGGCAGGTCTAACAACTCGAACGCTACGGCGGTGGCAAGCGCTGGCGGCGGCGATCCCGGAGGCGACAGCAGTGGCCCATCGGGTCCCAGCATGCTAGCGTTTGTTGGAATGTCCAATGGTATCGCAGTTGCCGTACTGTTGTTTGCCTTGCTGGGCTGCATCCTAGCCGCGCACTACTACCGTCGCTGGGAGAGGCGGCAGCAGGTGGAAAGCAGAGGAGAGGCCGCCTCTGGTGCCCTGGGCATTGCAGCCTGGTTCCAGAGAGTAGCTGCGGCGGCGAAGATCGCTTTATGCGGTCTGGCTGGCAGCGAGTGCCCCAGCGCTTCCCACGAGGGTGCTCCGCGCGGCGGCGGCAGTGCCGGCGGTCCAGCTGCAGGTGCTGCTGCCGCCGCTGCTGTCAGCGACACCGCTGCCCACTCGGACGGGCCTTATGGGCAACCGAATTCGTCCCCCTTCGCAGCCGGAGATGAGGCCCTGTCGCTGCGGCCGCCAAATGCTGCTGCTGCCGTTGTGCTCAATGTGCGCGGAGGCAGTGGCCCCGTTGAAGCCAGCCGCCCTGCGGCCACTGGAGACGCCCAAGACACATGTTATAATCCGCAGCAGGCCCAGCTGCCGCCGTCGACGCAGCAACAGCTGCAGCTGCCGCTGCTCCCAACGGCCCCATTACCAACTGAACAAGGGCAATCATGGCCCCATACTGACCCGGACATATCTCCCTCCGCGCTGCCGGCAGAGAGTAACGTGCAAGTCCGCATCGAGTCGAGTATCCCCCTCCCAACTGCGCACCAAGTGCAGGAAAGCGCCGCCGGGGTCCCCGGACAAGGCGCCATCGAAGAGTGCAACGTCAAGAATGGCGGGACAGATGTCGCCACTGATGTTGACGCCGTCGCTGTGAGTGAGCCGGCAAGTGTTCCTGCTGCCGCAGCTGCAGCTGCCACCTCTTCCTTGGGAACTGGCATGTCGCTGCGGCAGGATGCCATGCTCCACTGCCCTGCGCGGCCTGCTACCCCGCGAACCCGTCCGAGGCGTCTGACGCTAGCGCTGCCAGCGTCCTGCCAGCGTTTACCGCTGCCGGGCACTCGGGAGTTTTCAGCCAGTATGGGCGCACCTCGCCTGACTGCCGGCGGCCATGGTGCGTGGAGAGGAGCAGCCGCAGCTGCCGTCCGTGGCCCCAATGGCCTTCTGTTGGGTGTGAGGGCGGTGCCTGGCTCCCCAGCCATCAGGAGGGCTGTGCCTGCCGGCGGCCCCGCCGCTTCGGCCTTTGCCCGCAGCAACACGGTGGCTGCCAGAGCGCTCTTCGGCCTGGCCGGGTCCTCCGGAGCGGCAGTGGGAGCGGGAGTGGGAGCGGCAGCCGCGCCCGCCGCCGCCAGGCCTGGCCATGATGCGCGCCTCACGTTCCCGCAAGAACAACAGCAGCAGCTACAGCAGCCTCAGCAGCTACAGCAGCCTCAGCAGCTACAGCAGCAGCAGCCGGGTGTGCACCCCCCTTACCCCGTGATGTTACCGGGAGCTATCGTGAACGGCCCCGTTGCCCCGGCGGTGGCGCCGGTGCTGCCGGTGGCACCGGTGGTGCCAGTAATGCCGGTGGTGCCAGTAATGCCGGTGGTGCCAGTAATGCCGGTGGCGCCAGTAATGCCGGTGTCAGTGAGGCCAGTGGCAGCTTTGGCTCCAGCCATTAGCGTCCACCTTGCCAATGACGGACACGGTGGCTCAGGTGCCTTCGCAGCCACCCGGCCCGGTGTGGCACCAGTCAATAGTAACAATAACGGTAACAGCCACGGCTACAGCTACGGCAACGTTAATGCCAACGGTAACCGTAACGGCAGCGCATATGGCAACCGCCACGCCAACGGCAACCATCGCGGGCACGGCTACGGCAACGGGCACGGACAAGGCTACCGCAACGGCAACGCGCACGGCAACGCGCACGGCAACGCGCACGGCAACGGACACGGCAACGGGCACGGCAACGGGCACGGCAATGGGCACGGCAACGGCAACGGCAACGGCTACGGCAACGGCAACGGCAACGGCAACGGCTACGGCTACGGCTACGGCTACGGCTACGGCTACGGCTACGGCAACGGCTACGGCAACGGCTATGGCAACGGCTACGGCTACGGCAACGCCAACGGCTACGGCTACGGCAACGCCAACGGCTACGGCTACGGCAACGCCAACGGCTACGGCTATGGCTACGGCTACGGCTACGGCTATGGCTACGGCTTCGCCAACGGCTACGGCAACGCCAACGGCTACGGCTACGGCTACGGCTACGGCTTCGCCAACGGCTACGGCTACGGCTACGGCATCGTGGGGGTGCCTCTGATGAACAGACCGGTAGGCTATGGCCTAGGAAGGCGGGGAATGTGGGATAGCGGGACAGTGTGCATGTAGACGATACCTGGCGCCTCTAGCTGAGTAGTGGCAAGTTACAAGTAGTTAGTTACTTGTAACAAGTTCTACACGAGTGCGAGGGTGTCCGTAGAAGCCGAGGGGGGCCATGGACGGATAATAATTGCAATGCTATGGGTACATACTGTTTCCACAGCTTCGATTTTGTGAAGCACTTGCATCATGATATATCGCTCGCTCGCCTGGCTGGTACTCTAGTATCTTTGCCTTCGCCCACATCGATGCCAGCATTCGCCCCGGATTCACCCGGGTATACACCCCATTCGCAACGGCTCGTGTGCCTTCTCCTCCGGCACTAGCAGATGGCCTGGCCTCCCATCGGTTTTGCTGGGGCAGTGGTCCTACAAGGCCGGCTGGGCCTCGGGGCGTACGGCACTGTATATCGCGGCACCTGGGCGGGACGTCCGGTAGCCTGCAAGGTGGTGCAGCTGATGGACGGGCCGATGTTGAACGAGAGGGCTTTGGAGACGTTTCGGCGTGAGGCAGAGGTGCGTGATATCGGTGTGATCTTCCTTTGCGTGCTTTTGTCAATGCCAGAGGAAAGCCACAGGGAAGTAGGTCAGTAGGAAAGGTTTCCCGGGAAGATCTGAAAGCAGCATGGCATGGGAACGCTGAGCAAGCATGCATAGGAAAGGGGGCAGGAAAGTCTCGGAAGGCATCGTGTTCTCAAAGCTCATCTCTTGCCACCTGGGCCCTGTCCAGTCTCTCCCTCTTTTCATTTAAGCCCTCCTCGTCCTCCGCGCTAGCTCACCCCCGCTCCCAGCGACAGCACCCAGTTCCGGCCGTTCCGGTCCGCCTGCCTGCAGTTGATGTCCTACCTGGACCATCCCCACATCGTGAAGTTGTATGGGGCCAGCCTGGCGCCGCCCTTTGGGTACATTGTGGAGGTAAGGTCGTGAAAACCGCAGCTGGAGCAGTCGCATGGGGATGGGAGGTCAGGTGCGATGAGTTGTGTTGTGGAGTGCCACATGAGTGCATGAAGCACTTTGCTCTGCTGACATTCGTCCGCCCACAACGCGGCCTTCATCTCACACCAATCTGCTTAGGAAACAAATCTGGACTGCTCGCTGCGACGTTCGGCTTATTGTCAATTTCAAGTGTTGCTGTTTTGTGCACTTTACCCACATCTCCCCGAACTATTCTGTCCATTTGTCCTACACCTACGACTCCGCCGCCTCTTTGTCGCCACCTTCGCCTCCAGCAACATCTTCCCCTCCCAAGCGCGGGGCCAAGCCACCTAAGTACTCCCCACAGCGCATTCTCACATACACCTACTGGAAGCCCTAGCCCCCTAAAGCCCGTGATCCCCATGACTTCCCCCCCCTTCCCTCCCTGCCCCCTGCTCTCAGGAACTGGCCCAGGGGGGCTCTCTGCACTCCCGGCTGCATGCGAAGCGCCCAGGCAGTAATGAGAAGCTGTTCCCGCCCCTGTCGTACGCCGAGGTGGGCTAGCGCGCGTGGAGGGGCTCACTGAGTGGCACTGGTATTTAATCCCACACACGACTCCCACACAGCGCCGCATGAACACACTGTTACCCTATACGTGCACACAACTCCCCCCACTTACCTGCCCTCCAGGTCATCCGCATCGGTCTGGAGGTGGCTAGCGCTATGGCCTACCTGCACGAACGCCGGATTGTGCATCGAGGTGAGCATGCAGCAGGTGTCATATGCTGCTTGTGAATGCTAGCATACTGCTGCTAAGGCCTTGCTATGGCCGCCATGCCATTGTCTGTCTGCCTCGGCGAATTGTGGTTGTCTTGACGCATGTCGGGTTAGTTATCTGCCCTAGTTGTTGAATATTTGCTGGAAAGGCAAATACGAAAAACCCTGGTGTCGCATGTACACCGGTGCATGTACACCGGTATCTTCTGCTGTCACAACCCTGCCTGTTCCGGCTCCCCGCCGCCTCCCGCCCTCCCCCCCTCAGACCTGAAGCCGCAAAACTTGTTGCTAGATGGAGCTGGTCATGTCAAGGTGTGCGACTTCGGCCTTGCCAGGATCATGCGCAATACGCCGATGCGGACGGAGGACACACATGCGGGCACACCCGCCTACATGGTAAGGAGGCGGCAGGGTGGGAAGGCGGAGGGGCCAGGGAGCGCTAAGGCATGTGGGTCTTGGGCATGCAGGGTGTTTGTATGTACGTGCTAATAACACTAGACCGCAAATTGAGAGGTAGCTGTGTATTTAGGACAGAAAACCGCCTACCTTGCATGAGAGGCAGGTAGGGTTTCAATATGCAGGAACCACATGCCGATGTGGGGGTTTCGGAACTTGACAAGCGAAACCTTGAACAGACTCGGGGCTTAGTGGCCTTATGCTTTGTTTTTTTCGTTGGCTATTGCGTGGACGTCTCCCGCGTGTGCGTTGGTGCAACAGTGACTCGTTGTTCTATGGTATGCGAGGATCCAGATTATCCCATCGGCCTAACATCAGCAATAATGGTCGGTTGGTTGACAGCTCACCGATGAAGGACGTCATCGTTTTATACCGGACACTAAACCCCCAGTTTCTATGCTTTGAAACAACCAACGCGTGCGTGCGTGATTATTTGGATACCCTAGCCCCAATCAACTCCTCCCCTTTCCCATTGTAAGGCACCCGAGCTGTTTGAGGGGAGCATGATTTCTGAGAAGGTGGACGTGTATGCGGTGAGTGCGGGGCGCACGGAAATGTGCTTATGACATCGGTGCTGGCCCCGTACTGGGGTCGCTGCGCCTCTCCCTGCAGGGTCGCTGCTGTGTGCACTAAGCACCAAGCCCGGGGCCCCGAACCCACCTCGTGGTGGTGGTGGTGGTGGTGGTGGTGGTGGCGCTGCTACTGCTTCTGCTTCTCCTGCGGCTGCTGCTGTTGGCCCCTGACACCCAAGCATGCATTCCCGATTCCCAGGCGCGCACTGTAACCAGTTCCTTGGCCCCGTCCCGATCCGTCCTGCTTCGCCGTGCTTACAGTTCGCCATGACCATGTACGAGTGCTTCACGGGTATCATGCCCTGGAGCTGGCTGGCGGGAGAGATGCAGGTTTGCGAGGGATGTGCGGACCACCGGGTTCCAGTCAGGGAGAGGAAGGCCTGGCTAGCTCCGGCGCCTTCGGTTATTGGGGTCTTGAGGTCGTAGAAGGGAAAGGCCCTCCGTTCTGTAGCTGCTCCATCGCCGTCCCGTCCAGATCCCGTAACCATTCCCGATTTTACAACGCACAGCGAAATGTCCGTTGCAACGCTTGGCCTATCCGGTGCCTGCCCGGTCAGTCCCGCCGTGTGCACATGCTAACCGCTGATTCTATTCCTCCCGCGCTTCGGCTCTGCTTCCTTGCGCACCATCCCGCCCCATTCCATCCTGCGGATTCGTATTACATTTCTCCATCGATATTTCCATCCCATTCCGCTCCCTGCCCCAGTAATTATTACTCCCACGCGTTTCCCTTGCCCTGCAGATCATTACCCTCGTGTGTCTGAGGGGCAGGCGGCCAAGAGTGCCCGAATGGGCGCCGCCCTTCCTCGCTCGCCTGATTAACGCCTGCTGGGCCGCCGAGCCCAGAGAAAGGCCGCACTTCCGCGACATCTTGTACCTGCTCCAGCGCGAGATGGAGGCTGTCGTGTCGCCGTCGCCGCCGACGGCGGCTGGAGCCGCAGCACGGGCGCAGCATGGCTTTGGCGCTGCTTAAGATAGCTGCAAAACGAAAGGCCGCCGAGGAGGCGCATACTTCAGAGAGGCACCTGTTTGCATGATGCCTTTTCATTTTCAGCAGGGTGTCAGTTGTTAGCCTAACCCGCTGACGGCTGTCGTCTGTAAAAAAATTATCGTATATAGGTCGTATCCTAGTGTATTAGATGGGTACGGTCCCTATGTAAAGCACCAGGGAGGGCAGGATCTACAGACGATGCAAAAATTCACCGACGTGTGGCCCTCCAGATAGTGCTGAACTAGATCCAGAGCAGCGTTGTATGTCTCGGCTATTACTGAGGGAAAAGGGAGAGCTGTCGCAACAAGGTTCGCGCCGCAGTACGTATATGCTATGTGCTTTGGCTGGGTTGCTGTATGTACGGGAGTATACGGTTGTTTACGTGTCATCGCAGGACTGCGACCGTGGAGAGTCATTCCACGGAATTGCGGGGCAGCCATGTATGATGTCGGCTGGACCTCAGAAAACATTTACACCATATTCCTGCTTTGCGGGCCAGGCAGGGCAGGAGGAGTGGTTTCATCATCTGCAGGTTGTGCGCGTGCGGAGGAGGAGGAGGAGTAGCACCTCTATATCTGCTGTGCAGGCCAGCCAGCTGGCAGCGGTTATGACGGACGCTACCGGAGCCTATGTATGTATCCTGCTGGCCGTGGTGTGCGCCATATTTACACGAGGAGAGAGTTGCGAGCAGGTTGACTCCTAGCAAGAACAAAAGGTAATGATGAGCTCCATCCGCGCTGCCATTAAGATAGCTGTGCCAAAGGGCGTGTGTTCCGCGGTGCGTGAGTACCTAGTAACCAGTTGTAGTATCCTGCATTGTCTAAACAAGTTCTGCCTACAAGTGGAGGTGCGCTGCTCCGGCCTATCGCTCGTTGGGCGTGTTTTAATAATCAGATGCAAGATATTCGTTTCGTAGCATGCAAAGGAGATCTACCAGGTGACTCCTGGTTTTCATATGGATAGGCTCTTTCTACAATTGCAAGCGGGCCACGTGGCTCTGCTAGTGATCCTCCTTCGTTTATGAATCCTGCTTTTCCGTTGAGTTAGTATTACTACTTAGAGTCTGCTCTCATGGGGGCACCAGTTTTGCATCAGCGGTTAGTTGCTGAATAGTCGGCTAGATGATTCTATCGCCGTATGTACGTACGTAGTGATTCAGAAGGTTGTTGTCCGATTGCGCCACAATTCGTACAAATGATATGGTTTGGTGAAGAAAAAATGGCTTAGCGTGAATCTGTCAAACAATAAGCGTTAGCGTGATTAGCAGCCATACGCATGATGTGCAGGAATGTGCCGCTGTACAGGAATGTCAGGGCGGTGTTGCTTCGACGAACACCATGTTTAAATAGTCCTATGTCAGGTTACGGTGTGGTAAACAGGATGCCGGACATGTATAGTGAGTCTTGCTTGTTATGAACTGTCGACATACGGTGCCCCCCACCTACGTTGGATGCAACTGATCCCTGCTGGCGATGTTACCTTCAGACGTCCATGAGCAGTGCTTCCCCTCACCGCTAGTACGTAGAATGCAAAGGGGTCACGTGCATGCTGTAACAGTAACAAAAACTATCCGCGTCGCCCGATCCCTTGCTTGTCCTTACATCTCCTGCCCGTGAGTACGCAACAGCCATGTCCTATATAGCAAGCACATCTCGCCAATGCCTACACCAACGGAATGCATGTTACTTGTGTCCAACGAAGCAGGTTATCTGCAGGTTTCAGACAGCTTATTAGCGATACAATGAAGCAATAGCGGGTCGGATTTCCGCGCGCCTGCGGGTTTGTGTGGCTCGTATATGTCTCAATCCATTATTGCTAATCTTCCAGAATCTTCCTTTCTCTCATTTTCCCTCTTCGTTCGATGCTGAGCGATTCCCTACCAAAAGACTGCCTTTGGGGTCAGCAACTGGAAGCCCTGCCTTAAGCCCCCGGTGGGACATATCTCTGCAGGTACGGCTACCTACTCCCTACACACGCGCACACGCACACACACACACACACACACATGCGCACCGTGCATGAACTTCTCTATTTAACGGTACCAGCAGCGACAGGCTGTGTCAGTGTCGAGACCAGAAACACGAAACTGAGCGGCACAAGGAAGGGAAACGGAAAAGCACCCGCCGCGAGTAAGCTCCTCCTCCACTGTCCGCGCCCGGCTGGACACCCGACTTCTGGCGGCCCGTCACCTAATGGGACCCTCCAGCCCCCAGATTGACCCTTCGCTCCAGGGTGCGGTCCTATTTACTTGTACGACCCCTCCCTGCTGGCCCACGATAGTGGAGGGACTGCACCCGCGGCAGCAAGGGCAACTCCCAGCCGTTGATAAACACCGTCCATCTAAAGAGCTTCCCTGCTCGGTTGGTGGCGAATGCTAAATGGCTGATTGAACAACCCGACTGACAAAAAAACAGAGTAACGGAGGGGCGAATGATGCACTGACTTGGAACTAACTCGTAAAGTGAACGACCCTGACTAAGTGACCGAGTAATGTGTGGCCGGCTTGCGAACCGACTGACTAAGCGAGCGAGTCGCATCGCCCGCCAAACGATTAAGCCACTTGTCGAGTTTACCATCCAATTGAGTGACCAACGCAGGATTTAACAAACCAGTGACTTGGACAAACATGCGTAGCTGCAAATCCGTACGCTAAAAGTAAGACGCCACCTGTATCGTAATGTTGGAAATTCGGTCTCTCGATATCTCAACGCACTTTTACATAGCCCCGGTACTACCTACACTCTATTACCCTGCCGTCGTAGATTGCTGTGATTGCAAAACATACCAAAACAGACACGGCCGTCATACCCGCCGGGCGCCTAATTCCGCCCATATTCCCCTAGGTGAGGTGGCTACATACCGCGGCCATTTCTCCTGCCAGGCCCCCCCCATGGCAGCTGTAGCTCCAATCACTACTGCAGTCAGAGAGAGGCAGCATCCCTAATGCCGCCTCTGCCGCATGTGGTGCGCATAACGGTTCTGCTGCTGCTGGAACTGGTTGCGGCTGCTTGCAGCTGCCATGGTGGTTGTGTGCGCGTGGTGAAGGCGTGGGGTGGCGGCGCAAGTATGAGTAAGGGCCCAGCGGCGCAAGCAGTGACCGCACGCAGCTTCAGCTTCACGCCGCTGCCGGACTCGCCCTTCACACCCCCGCTCTTGGCCATCCAAATGAATTACATTGAATTTCGTTTTACAGGTATGGGGCCACGCACCCCCAACCATGTAACACACACACACACACACACACACACACATTGAATATGTCGGCTTTGAGTATGCACCACACAGCTCGTGAGACGTAAGGCGTTCAGCAGCACAGGGTGCCAGTCGGTAGCCCCCGTTTCCCGGGGGCCTCGATAATGCAGACTCCGCAAAGCCCACTCTCGTTCTGGCGACCGCCCTGCCGGGCCCCCCTTGTCGCCCCGCTGCCTTGCGTACGCATGCACAAATTCCCCAAAGTCACCGTTATCGTCACCCTTGCAAGTGCCCAACGCCGGGGCACAACCAGGGACAACACCTGCTCACCAGTCCTGACACCCACCCACTCACCCACCCGCCAATGAGCTGCTCGCGAAGGACCGTATCCCGCTGCTGACACCGTGACCGCTGCTGCCTTTTCTGTTGCTGTTCAGTGTGCCTGTGCCTATTACGAAGGTGGCCACAGTGGAAACGATAGTGGGGGCTGCTGTGGCTGCTGCAAAACCCGTTACACCTCCTTTAGGGTAACGCAACTCAAAATTTTATACGTATACGTACATGTACACATACACACACTTACATAGCTGGGCTCCTGCTGCTGCTCCTGCTGCTGCTCCTGCTGCTCCTCATGCTGGGGGGAAAATGCCAGTGGGGGGCCGCGTGCTTTCCTGCACCTGTTCCACGGGTCCCCGACAGCATACCGGTGGCTCCCGGCAACATCTCGCCCCTCTTCTGGACGACTACGCCGCGCTCTTGCTCTCTGGCAGCCGCTATATTTCGTACACGGCAATGGGGGCCACACTCCTCTCCATGTTTGCGGAACCCCCGTCACGTCCATCACGTGCTGGGGGAACTGCCCGCCCAGGTGGCAGAGAGCCGTAAGGTGCAGCTGCAGGAGGACTAAGAGGGTTGGCTTCATTGGGCATATCACTTAGATGGACTGCCTCACCCTCCTGTAAGGATAACAGTGTGTGCCTTAGCTCCAAGGCTGCCTTCCATGCTGCTTGCATTCCAATGCTAACCGGCACGGGGAGCCCCAGGCCGAGGCGGCGGGCAAACTGACAGACACACACGCATATCTGCCGATGCGATGTCCATCGAAATGTAAACCCCCAACGGCAAAGTGGCGGTGCTGCAAGCAAGCAAGAACAAAGTGACCATGACGCGCATGTTGTGAATACTTCAACGCCCGAGTCCCTCTGCTCGTAAACACCAGCCCCACGTGTACCCGCCCAACTGCCTGCTGGTGTGGCAAGTGCAGCACCGAGATGCCGCTAACTCTCCGCCGACATCCATTGAGCAGCCTTTTTGGCGGGGACCTGATGTGCTGGTCCCGATTCGTGGGGTGGCGGTGTCACTTGTGGACAGAAACGCTCCTATAGGGGGATTTGGGGGAGGGATGCTGTCGGCGCCAGTGCTGCTGGCATTTGCCTGGATAGGCACAGCGCCGGTCCTGTAGGTACGGTTGCCATGACTGCCTCCCCCGATGTCGCTACAGGTCCTGGCGTTAGTTGCAGCTGCTGCTGGTTGCCTACTGCAGCTCCCGGAGTGCTAGTAAAGGCTGTGTTTATATGGTTATTATTCAAGCACATCGCTTTCCGGCACGGCAACTTGGGCTTACGATTGGGTTGCAGCACAGGTGGGTTGCAGCCGGTGGGTTGCAGCACAGGTGGCGTGCTGTTTTGTAGTCCACAGAATAGACGAAATGACGGAAGCAGAGTGCTAATTGTGGTATTACTGTCTAGCGGATTGACTTTTAGGGGGTGAAGGGTCTTGGATGCGGGCAGCCCACGTCTCCCCGCGGCTGGGTTCTGTCTCTGATTACCTGCACCAGCGTAACCACACCCGCCTTAGGGGGATGGGAAAGCCAGATGGGCGACGCGCACTGAGGAAGACCAGCAATCGCTGGCCGAAGACGCGGCATGTGTAGATTCACTTGCACACCCAGCAGCCAAGGCAAATGTATGACGCATATGTTCGACTACAAGCGCTGAGAAGTCAGGATCTTTAATGCTGTGCGTTACGCGTACATCAAAATTGCCACGGTCCGGGGACAGCGCAAAAGCAGGCGAGGTGTTGTTATGGGCCTTTACAGGAAGCCGCCTAAGCAACCGGCAAGTCCTGGAACTAGATTTTAACATATTGTGTCAAACTGCTTGTTTGTTTATGCTCATATGCCTCCAAGACCGTATGGTTGCGTTGTGAACGAACAAACCTTGTCAGACAAGGGGGCGCAGGAAGAGCAATCGCCAAAGAGGAAAAAGATCAACCGCTACCCCAGATTACCGCAGTAGCGTCTCTTATTTGCTTGTTGTCTAATGCGCACGAATCCTGCGGCCTGCCACTCTTGAGACCTCCTCGGCTTGCGCCACTTCTCACTTACTCCGCCTTCCGCATCTGCCAACGATTTTGTAGGCAGCCATGAAAGTTATAATATGCAGCTTATCAAAATGTAAAAGCCTAATGAGAGCAAAGAACGCGATCGCGTTTGCTGCGGCCGCCGCCGCTAGGTCCTGTTCATCAGCCAACCATTTTGAGGACTGGTTGAAAAAACATAGAAAGAAATTACAGGTTTATCTGAATCAAGCTGAATCCGGAGAGTTTTCCCTATATCGCAAGTAAGCTGAACTCCTCATGCCCACGCACGATTGCAGGTGCTCTCTCTCCCATGTCCTACGATTGTCTTTTGAAAGATTATCACGATTAGTTTGGAACCATGGATATGATGGACATATTTGTCACTGCGACGTCTTCCACTGATTGAACCCTACAACGTTGACCGCTCTCGGACCAGCAGCACGAACAGCCTAGCTGCCTACTATGTACGCGATGCCACAGTCCATGTTGCATGCCGACATTTTCACCATCTCTATAGTACATGTTCATTTCTGAGATTGCATCTGCGGTTGCAGGGGCGTGGGACCGATCCCCACCCATTCGGGTGGTCCGATGAGTCCCCGAAACCTTAGCAGGACAGCCCATGGTAAACTGAATAAATACGGGTGCAAGGCACTCCCACTCACAAGCCTATTTTCCCCTGGCCTCATTGATATCGTATCCGACGGCCTCCTGGTCGACGGCTCTGCGGACTTCCCTACCGGTGGCTGCGGAGTATGCTACGGCCTGAACTGGCCTGATAGTACTGTCCTGACAACGCGAACGTTTCACAAGGTAAGCACCGTGGGCTGAGCAGTATGAATCTAGATGCATCATGCTTAGTTGGACGTAGGCCCCAGGGTCACTCCGCTATTCTGGCGCTTAGGACTGCTTAGGGTACAACCATCTCCAACGCGGCCTAAACACGCGCGGCTAGCTAGGGCTACTGTTTAGTCCATTTCTATCTTTTGCCACCTGGTTGCTGCTGCGCGGAGTGACTCTCTCAACGCGCCGCAGCTATCCTCGAGGCCTCACCACATTCCTCGAGGCAGGTGAAACGGCCCTGCACAAAGGCCCTCACAAGGAAATCCAGCCTTCGTCGCCCTCCTCCGTGCTTCACGCCAGGTCACTAACAACATCAAACAGAGTGGCTAGCAAGACAAGTCGCCCGGCCCCGTAGACTCCTGTACAAGTTACGGCCTCGTGCGGCCTCCGACAATTGTCTTGTATAACTCCAAGGTAAATAACTCCCGCCGTTTGAACAGGCCATTGCCCACGCCTGCGAACTCAACTGCGCTGTGACATGCCACCGCCAATGCAATTAGCAGTGGCGATGATGCCGCTGCGGCGTCGTGGCGCAGCAGCTGCAGCTGCCTGGGGCCCCATGTCCTTACATATGGAGACATGGCAGCGTATTTTGCGCTGGTCACTGTATTTCCGAAGGAACATTCTTCGTCGCCAGCAGGCTGCTGCTGCTGCAACTACTGGCCCCGCCCCGCGGTTCGAATCGGCTTCCCGCTCATCCTTGGCTTTCCTGGTGCTTTTCCTGCTGTGCCTGACCCGCGCCTGCCGAGTCTCGTCTGCCCCGGTGACGCTAGGTAAGGTACCTGTAAGGCTATGTACGCCGTGATGCCTCCTTACATAGGTTTGTCCCCTAAATCGCGCTTATTTTGCACTTGATTGCGCATGCTGGGCGCGCACGGCTCAATTGCGTGATACAACAAGTCTAAGCAAGTTAAATTAGCCCCCAGGGCCGTTGTCGTCGCCGTCACCTGGCGCCCCTGCGATCGATTATCTATCCTGGCTGATGACCGATTCGAGCACCGTTAAGTCCTAGGTCGTCAGGCCAACAACCGACACCCATCACCGCGCACATTATGACAGTAGCCAGTAGTCAATACGACGGGGCTTCGGTCTGTGTCATGCCGTGTACGGTCGTGGGCGACCTTGCTGTGACGCCGATACCTGCTGTGGCAATTAGGAAGAGACGTGGACCCATAGCCGAACGCCTGTATTCTAGACTACTCAACCCAAAGCCACTCGCATGGAAAAAGGTGAAGGATAGCTGTTGGAATAACGGGTTTCCTTGGACATGAAACGGTGAGCGCGAGTGTGAGAAGTCTTTACTCTGTGTACAATAATCGGATGGGGTCCCAGTAGCTTCCACGGCCGAAAATTGCTCTCCTAAGGGAAATGATCTCGAGCCATACCAAACCAAGGAACCCCGCTGGCCCTGGAGAATGTGAATATGTCTTGAGTGAACGTGTGACCACAACCGCCTCACAGGGCCACTAAATCTGACACCCAGCTGTTCCCCTGCCCCTCCGTGTCCACGGTAGCCGCCCTGTCCGGTCGCAAGGACGTCGTCTCCTCGGCGGCAAGGCGACTCGGGGCCAGCATCTCGTCCTCAGCCGCCGCTGCCGCTGCCGTAGACCCAGCTGAAGCCAACGGCAGCTCGGGAGAGAACGGTACCCAAAACAGTGTCAGGAACGATACAATGGCAACAACTAATGGCAACACCCATGGCAACAACAGCACTACTGCAAGCGGAAACATTGACAACGGTCTGCAAGGAAAGACCGCAGCACCAGCCAACCACAGCAGCCGGAGCACACCGCGTCGTGGGTTGCGCCGACTAGCAGGACCTGGTCTGCCTGCCGTGCCCTTGCCGGCCCCGTCACCGACAGCTTTGGGGCCTTTGCCTGGGTCCATCTCGGTGCTGCACAACACCCCCGCTGACCACACGCCTCCGCCTCCGCGTCCTCTGCCGCTTCCATCTCCTCCTCTCCCGCCGTACTGCCATGTCCACTCCCTGACCCAGCTCCCCCCGGCATTAACCGGTAGCCCAGCAGCCCTCCGCGGCTGCCCCCTGGTGGTGGGGTTTATGGTGGGCCCGGCAGCCGCTGCAGGTGGGGCTCCAAGGAGCTCGAAGGAGTCTACTCAGCAGGAGGGCAGTGGCGGTGGTGGGGGTGATGGTGGGGGTGGTATGGCTGAAGGTGACAGCACGGGCAAGGTTGGCAACGCAGCGTCCATCGACGACCTGTACGACATTCCGTTGTGCTCCAGAGGCGTGATCATCAACAATGGCCAGGTGAGGCGCGTAGTAAGTGGGGTGCCGGTACATTACTATGCGGTACATTACCATAGCGCACAGCGCCATATTATATTTAACACCCCATACAGCACTATATAGAAAAACATAGTACTGAGTAGTGGTACATGATGCCGTGCATTACCATGCTGTGAGCACCGCCCCTGTGCAGTCTCAATCTGTGTCCTGTTATATGTTGTCAAGTATGCCGGTTAACACGATTCACACAATTGCATCGGACTAGCACCCTGGCAGTAAGGATAAAAGGGGTCGCGTATATCTTTAGTCACCTTGTGCTGTGTTTTGGCCAGCAGGGGAGTCTGTACGGCTGGAAGTTGGTGTGGCGTTTCAACTCCGTCCCGCCATACACTATACACGATGTGGACGGGGCCGTACTCCTCAGCCCAGGTGCGCAGCGGACGATGCAATATCCATGGCGAGCAGAAAGTATCAATTATATCACGGAAAGAACTTTAGCTTTTATGATGTGTGAAACAGGGGGGTGTATCTTCGCCCGTGGCAGCTACCCTGCGAAACCCTGCCTTCCCCGGTATTTCGGGGCACCCTCATCCAGTCACCCTAGTCAACTTCTCAGTGGATCGCTCAGGTTCCGCACCCACCACCAGCATTCAACGGAATCTGCCGGGTCGACAGCGGCCCAACTCAATTCCTGGTCGGCTCGCAGGTTAACTCTATCCCAGGTCACCACCGTCCATCAACTAGGGGCGCAATGCCTTGCACCATCGGAAGGACTTTTGACCCTAATAGGTATCGATCCCGGGATCTCCCGGGGGCAATGGTCGCGCGTTACCAGTAGTGCCAAACCCTATTAATATACGTATATATGTATGATGTCTAAGTAGAACGCCGAGTGACAACCCATTCTTATCACAAAGTGCGCTGTGGTGACCGTCAGCCGACAAATGATGGTGCCACCCCATCCTACCCCACCCCACCCCATTCCACCCGCTTTGTTTTGGTTATAACGGTTCTGCCATGCCCCCCTACCGCTTCCTAACGCCCCACCCCCAGGCAGCGAGCTCTCCCCCGTGCGAGTGGTCAACACCGCCAGAACCGCCTCCATCTCCCCCGCCGGTGGCACTGCCAACTTCACCTTTTCGGTGGTGGTGGAACCCACTACCTCCTCTGAAGGCTGGTCCGAGGCGCCCCTGGAGTGGACCTCTGTGCAACTCAACAATCAGCGTTGCGCGCAGCTGCCGTCGCGCAGCCTCGGTCTGCCGGCGTGTGGTATGCCGTATAGCCAGCTGGTGATGAAAGCTGGCACGGCGGCGGCGGCACCGTCAGCGTCGGTGGCAACAATAACTGCAAAGGCCTCAGCAGGTGGGATATATGCATCGCCAGCTGATTTGTATGCTGTGGCAGTGGTGGTAAACGATGGCTGATCGCGTGCAGTCGTCGGCGCATGTACTAGTAGTTGAATCCCCCATCTGCCCCAAGCCCCATCTGCCATATCCCTATCCATGCCCTTTCTGTTTATATGACCAGCCCCTCCCCAATACCCGTTGTGTTGTTCCATTTTCCTCCTGGCCCATCCAGTCGAGCCACCAAACCTGGCATGTGCTTCCGTCTTCTGCTGTGGGGAGCTGCATAACGGGCGGAAAGGCGTCCCCGGTCCAACCTCCCACAACGGCGGCGATGTTGGCGGCGGACCCGGGGGGTACCGGGTCGTGAATGGCGGTCGTTTTAGAGGCCATGTCTCAGGTTCGATAGCCAGGGCTGCCGCCACCACCGACGCTGGCGACCGCAGTGCTATCACGCCGCCGCCCCCTCCCGGCTCCTTGGCAAAGTCCAGCGTTGTGCAAAGCCAGCTGACGGCCGCCATAGCCGAGTTCCTGGTGCAGCCAAGGGTAGGTGACGATCGCAGCGGCAGCAACCCCGCCGTTGTAATCGGAAACTCAAGAACGCCGGGGGTCTCCAGACAGATGCCATCGGTGGTGGTGGTGGATAGCTCTAGCGGCGGAGGCGGTGACACTGACGGCGCTATCCTTCCACAAGACGTGGTCAAACGCCTGAAGAACCTCCTGGCAATGGCAAATAACGGCACCAATGTCTCTATGGATGTCCTAAATCCGTTGCAGGACCTTGTACGGGAGGCCAGTTCCAGAGTCGGAAGCGCCACTGGTGCCAGCAGCAGCGCCGCAGCCTCCGCCGTGAAGACCAGCGGCATGGATGAGCTGTTGGACAAGATATCTCACGTCATCCAGGAAGGCACTCGATCGCCGGTGCCACAGCCGGAAGATTCTGGAGCATCCACCGATACAGGGGACATGCAGGAGTCAATGGATGCCAGCATGCCGCACCGCCGAAAGCCTCCAACAGTCGATTATTCACCCCCATTCCATCTGCCGCCCTCGCCGCTGTACATTGCTTCCGTTACTCAGCCGCCTCATCTGGATAAGCCGTTCGTCTCTAGGCCTATGCGCCCTGCATCATACAAGCCTCGCAGTATGCCGGGCCAACCGATACCCAATACCGTTATCGTACGACGTCCCGTGACGGAGGAGCCCGTCGACGCTAATGCTACGGCGGCGGCAAGCGCTGGCGGGGGCGATGAGAGTGCACCATCGGGTACCAGCACGCTGGCGGTGTCCAATCGTATCGCAGTTGCCGTACTGTTGTTTGCCTTGCTGGGCTGCATCCTAGCCGTGCACTACTACCGTCGCTGGGAGAGGCGGCAGCAGGTGGAAAGCAGAGGAGAGGCCGCCTCTGGTGCCCTGGGCATTGCAGCCTGGTTCCAGAGAGTAGCTGCGGCGGCGAAGATCGCTTTATGCGGTCTGGCTGGCAGCGAGTGCCCCAGCGCTTCCCACGAGGGTGTTCCGCGCGGCGGCGGCAGTGCCGGCGGTCCAGCTGCAGGTGCTGCTGCCGCCGCTGCTGTCAGCGACACCGCTGCCCACTCGGGCGGGCCTTACGGGCAACCGAATTCGTCCCCCTTCGCAGCCGGAGATGGTATCGTGAGGCTCTATGGGAAGACAGAAAAAGGCTGCAATGCTTCCGACGATGGCTGCGGCTGCACGGGCATCACTGCCGGGCTCGCTGATGCTTCACGTCGGGGTGCATTCCCGGAACTCCTTAGAACTCTGTCGCCGCCGCAGCCACTTCAATCACAGCAGTTGTTGCCACTTCCTCCGCTGCCACCACCAAATGTGCAGTTGCAGATCTCGGCTCAGGGCAGCAACTCTATAACTATGAACAACGCCGAAGCTTCCATAACGCCAAGCACATCCCTTCTCAATCAGCAACAGTTGCCTGAGAGCAGCAATGGCCCCGCCGTCGCAGCTGAGCTCCCCGCAGCAATGCGGGACTCCGGCCTTCACGCCGGGCCTTCGAGCCCCAACTCGCTCTTGCCGCCGGCCGAGTGGGACATGGCCGCGCGCGGCAACGCCGTCCCCGGCAACGGTGTTACCCCGCTTCCCGGTGATGGCGGCGGCAGCATCTTTGTCTATGAAGAGTACCGGCCACGAAACTACCCAGGCGGGATGGCGATGTCGCTGCGGAGCTCGGTGTCATTCATAACTCAGCCCGACATCGAAAGGGACCTCCAGATTTTGCTCAGCAATGATGTTTCCGACGACGAGGATACCGTAATGGACGGCGCCATTGGTGTCGCCAACGCGGATATCGCCAGTATGGGCGCACCTCGCTTGACTGCTGGCAGCCATGGTGCGTGGAGTGGAGCAGCCACAGATGGCCCCCGGCCCCTAATCGGGGATCCGTTGGGTACGGCGGCGGAGGCGGAGGCGCCTGGCTTCCCAGCCACCGCAAGGGGTGTGCCAGTCGGCGGTTCCGCCGCTGGACCCGCTGGCTCTGCGACTTCAGCCTTTGCCCGTAGCAGCACGGTGGCAGACACGGTGCTCTTCGACCTGGCCGGGTCCTCCGGAGAGGCAGTGGGAGCGGGAGTGGGAGCGGCAGCCGCGCCCGCCGCCGCCGGGCCTGGCCATGATACGCGCCTCACGTTCCCGCAAGAACCGCAGCAGCAGCTACAGCAGCCTCAGCAGCAGCAGCAGCCTCAGCTACAGCAGCTACAGCAGCAGCAGCCGGGTGTGCACCCCCCTTACCCCGTGATGTTACCGGGAGCTATCGTGAACGGCCCCGTTGCCCCGGCGGCGGCGCCGGTGCTGCCGGTGTGGGTGGCAACAGCGCTTCTACCTCCACTGGTGTCGGCATCGGCTCCAGGTTCCCGCGTCGGCCTAGGTGGTTACGGTTGCGGCGGCTGTGGCGGCCCGGCTACACATCCTGCACGAGCGTGCGGTCCTCCTGACGGCATTGAAGATTCCTTCGGGAGCCTGGCCGTCCGCGCCAACGCGGCCGCCACCAGCCGCATTAGGGCACCAGTCAATAACGGTAACGGTAACAGTAACGGTAACGACACCCGCAGGGCAGTTAGACCGGTGAGTCAGGTGTAAGTCAGGGTGAGTGATATGGGGAGGCAAGGAACCTGTTTGTACCGCTATTGGGATTATCTCCCTCCTGCAATCCCCCTTTCCTAGCAATCCGCCCGTCCCTGATCACGTCGCCTAGTGATGGCGCGGCACATTGCATTGCATTCCCCGGCACCTGAACCGACAGTGTGCAGCCCCAACAAGGTTCCACACCACCTTGGAACTAACTGCATTGTAGCCCCATAGCCCCAACTGCATTTTTAACCACACATGTACAGCCCCATTCACAATGGTGTGTGTACCACGTGACACCGCCGCTACCAGAGGGGCTGGGTCTCCATCGATCCCCGGGATGTGACCCTGCGAAGCCGGCTGGGCTCCGGAGCGTACGGCACTGTATATCACGGCACCTGGGCGGGGCGTCCGGTAGCCTGCAAGATGGTGCAGCTGATGGACGGGCCGATGCTGAAGGAGAGGGCCTTGGAGACTGTTCGGCAGGAAGCAAAGGTGGGTGGTGGCAGCATGGAGTTACAAGTCACAAGTTCCACATACGGGGTGTCCGTAAACGCCGGGGGGCCATGGACGTTATATTGGTATTGATGCGGTTACACGGGAGGCCATCCGCCTCCTCCCTCGTCCGCTTCAGGGCGAAGGGCCTCAGCGCGACGTGTCTGCCCTCCCAGATTTCCGAGAGGTACCTGGCCATGCCAGGGGTGGCGCCTCAGACATAATGGTGCGCATGTTGCATCCCTTAAAGATGAGGTCACCCGTATGCTCTTGTGAACGGGGCATTCAGCAAAAACATGCAATTCGTCTTCAACCGCTCCACAGTCACAAAGCCTGCAGGTACGCGCGGTGGGCTCACGTCCATTAGGCCGATTAATCTCTAATTCCCAACAGCCTAACCGGAAACGCATTAGCACTTGATGCAGTCGCTGGGGCATGGCTAGTTTAGTGTGCTCCAGCCAATCGAGTCGCGCACCCCAAGGCGGGCCCGCTCCCATCCAGTTCATATAGCGACAAGCCTTGGCACAGGTAATTCCAATGGGGAAAACGCGGGGTTCACCTAGGTAGGGTATTCCGAGACTCCCACCGTGCATCAAGGCGCTTAGCAAATACCTTAAGTATGCTCTCTACTGGCAATTAAGGGTGGCGTAATGCGCTATGAGATCATCACCGCGCATGTTAGTGGGAGGTCCCGCTTCAAAGCTAGGAAGGAAGGCTAGTATCTTGCGTGTCCAGCACTCAGCAACAGAAGAAGCATTGCTTCACCAAAGCACGATGGGCGTTTGTGCTCCTCGTGTGGTCTCCATCGGTGTGCCGTTTCTTTGTCGATGTGTTGTTCACTTTTCTTAACGTCAAACGAAAGCCGCGCCGGAGAAGATCTGGCCACGTACACCAAGGGAGCGAGGCGTCCGTGGACCCTCCACGGCACCTTTCAGCAGCACCCGTAAGCCTCCGTGCCCTGCGCTGCGAGAAAGACCAAGAGACCAACAGCCGCCTGGCTACCCCGTCGTCCATTGGGGGAGGGGGCGCCTTGCCGGGCAGGATTTGAATTTATGTAGTGTGGACGGCTGGGAGCACGTGATACGACATGATAATCCTTTGATACGTGTGTGTTGCACCTAGAGGTGCGTCACCCCGTAAAGCTGTAACAGACCCATACGAGCCAAAAGCCCCCAGGTGCAGGATTGCGGCAAGTACAGAGGTCCCAGGGACCGCGTGCTCATGCAGTCATGTCCGTCGGGGGTTGGTAGCGCTCCCTCAAAAACACATGCTTTATTGCTTCCTCTGTAGATGCGTCCAGCTTGGCTCACCCTTCGTCAGGCGGCGCCGTCCGGTCTCCTTCCTTTCCGTGGACCCCTTCCCCCTGATCCTCTGCTCTAGCTTCTCCTATTTCCCCCCAGCTACGGCACCCAAACCTCCTCCAACCACTTCCGGTACTTCGCGCTGTTCGCAGTTGCTGTCTCGTGTGAAACACCCGCACATCGTGAAGTTGTACGGGACCTTCCTGGCACCTCCTTTTGGGTGCATCGTGGAGGTGAGGGCTGCAGCTGGCATGGAGGGTGATGAAAACAGATGAGCGGTAACATGCAACTTATGTTGTTGCGAAACGCGTGGTTATCGCAATCCCCTTCCTTGTTAAGCCACCTGTATGCATAGATACACGTTAGGCTGGCGGCAACCTAGATAGCTTTGTGCCTAGTCTTCACCTTTATTGCTGTCATAAAGCCGCGCCATGTTCGGCACCTCGACCTCCCACCTCATTACCCTCCTTTGTTTGTGAACTTGTGTGTTCCCGTTCCTTGTAGCTTAGTGTTGTTCGCCCACATCCCGCGTCAGCCTACCCGTTCAACCTGACCCGTAACATCTCTCCCACAACCAGCTTTGCTGACATCTCCACCGCCAGGACCTGCTAAACCTCTGGCACCTGCAGCACCTGCAACAGTCCCCGCTCCCTCAATCGGAGCTCTGAGCGCTCAAGACCCCAAACGACGAACATTGTTACCCCCATGACTTTCCCCCCTTCCCTCCCTGCCCCCTGCTCTCAGGAACTGGCCCAGGGGGGCTCTCTGCACTCCCGGCTACATGCGAAGCGCCCAGGCAGTAATGAGAAGCGGTTCCCGCCCCTGTCGTACGCCGAGGTGGGCTAGCGCGCGTGGAGGGGCTCACTGAGTGGCACTGGTATTTAATCCCACACACGACTCCCACACAGCGCCGCATGAACACACTGTTACCCTACACGTGCACACAACTCCCCCCACTTACCTGCCCTCCAGGTCATCCGCGTCGGTCTGGAGGTGGCTAGCGCTATGGCCTACCTGCACGAGCGCCGGATTGTGCATCGAGGTGAGCTACCTGTCATGCGTGCTGGTGGTGGTGCTACTACTGGATGCTGTGACAGTGAACCTGCCCCACCCAAGCAATGTGACAGCCAGGTTAGTCCCGGAGGCGGTTATCGCGGTTGCTGTCGCTGCTGCTGCGGCTCGGTCGCTGCTGCTGCGGCTCGGTCGCTGCTGCTGCGGCTCGGTCGCTGCTGCTGCGGCTTGGTCGCTGCTGCTGCGGCTCGGTCGCTGCTGCTGCGGCTCGGTCGCTGTTGCTGAGTTTCGGTCGTCGGCATCAGTCATGCACGAGGGGGTCCTGCTCAACGCGAAAGCCGGCAAGACAGTAGATGCGTAGACGGGAGCGCATCCCAGTCCATGCCATCCCACACTTCTCGGGTCCGCTTCACTTCAACCCGCCCCATGGTAATCCAACTCCTCTCCACTCATTCTTTTGGCCCCCCACTTCCCGGGCGCTGATCGTCCACCTCTGCCCTGGGCACAGACCTGAAGCCGCAGAACTTGTTGCTAGATGGATCTGGTCATGTCAAGCTGTGCGACTTCGGCCTTGCCAAGATCATGCGCATCACGCCCATGCGGACGGAGGACGTACATGCGGGCACACCAGCATACATGGTAAGAAGGCGGCCTGGCGGGAAGGCGGAGGGTGTGTGTGTGCTGGGCCGTGGCGTATCCGTGCGGAGAAGCGGAGTCTCAAAAAAAGATAGACGCGCAAATGTGCCCACGGTGTCTTACACCTTGAGCTGCGCACTTTCCGAAGCTGTAGCGGGGCCATAAACGCCGGCGGGGACCAAGGGCCAGCCTAGGGCTGTCCGAGATGGATGACGTAAGGTGTGCACAAAATGACTGTGCAAACCAGGGATCATCCATGCCTGCTTGTTGTGATAGGAGCTCAGCTAATCATGGAACGAATTTGCGTACCGAAAGGGTTGCAACAACGTGTCTTAGGATGGGTTTGGAAGGCACAACCTATAACTATGCTCATGTCATATTTCCTGCGTCGCCCGTGCTACATAGCACCGATTCCCGCCGGCCCGTGCTTAAGGATGCTTCCTGTCGCTTCAGGGCTGCAGAGTACACTGCTTGGGGTTGCCGCTACTAGATCCATATACCTTTAAGAGCATTACTGGTGCAGGCATTCTTGCTCGAGAACTGCCGCTGGATAAACACGCCAATAATAGCAATAAGACGTACACAGACAAACACTCACTCTGCGCACTCCTGGATTCGGGTCTTTCAATGCCCCGATCCCCTCGTCCCCCAAATTTTGCCCTTCCCAGTCACCCGAGCAGTTCGAGGGGAGCATGATTTCTGAGAAGGTGGACGTGTTTGCGGTGAGTGCGGGGGCACTGCCCGGAGGGCAGCGCACAGTCGGAGATGGGCAGCACGGAAATGTGCTTATGACATCGGTGCTGGCCCCGTACTGGGGTCGCTGCGCCTCTCCCTGCAGGGTCGCAGCTGTGTGCACTAAGCACCAAGCCCGGGGCCCCGAACCGGTGGTGGTGGTGGTGGTGGTGGTGGTGGTGGTGGTGGTGGTGGTGGTGGTGGTGGTGGTGGTGGTGGTGGTGGTGGTGGTGGTGGTGGTGGTGGTGGTGGTGGTGGTGGTGGTGGTGGTGGTGGTGGTGGTGGTGGTGGTGGTGGTGGTGGTGGCGCTGCTACTGCTTCTCCTGCGGCTGCTGCTGTTGGCCCCTGACACCTAAGCATGCATTCCCGATTCCCAGGCGCGCACTGTAACCAGTTCCTTGGCCCCGTCCCGATCCGTCCTGCTTCGCCGTGCTTACAGTTCGCCATGACCATGTACGAGTGCTTCACGGGTGTCATGCCCTGGAGCTGGCTGGCGGGAGAGATGCAGGTTTGCGAGGGATGTGCGGACCACCGGGATCCAGTCAGGGAGAGGAAGGCCTGGCTAACTCCGGCGCCTTCTGTTATTGGGGTCTTGAGGTCTCTGTATGGTCCTATATGGTCCTCCTCTGCTGCCATTTCGCTTGGTGTCGCTCAGCGCCATTCCCACGTCATCACAGCTGGCCCTTGCCGAATGGATCTCGAAATGTGATCCGGCATTTTGGAAAGATAGGGAAAAGGAGGGACCATGGTTGGACCGTTAAATGTCCGGTCGTCGATCGGTGAAAGCACCTAAATCTTCGTCCCATTTCTGTAGGTCTTTGCCTATGAAAGGGAGCTGCTTGCAATCGACACTGCATCGTCGCGGTGATCTCACGGTCTAGCAGCTTGCTCTACCTGTTATGCGCCGGCCGCTCCCTTCGTACATGCCACGCCATATGCTGATTCCAACCCTCCACTCCAGCCAGGTCCGCGTCACTCGGCGGACTTCCTTTCCCCGGCCTCCTGCTCTTCAGCTCTGCTCCCCGCGCCTCCGCCGGCAAAAATCCCTCGCATTGCAGATTCTGGCAACGGTTTGTGACAAGGCGCAAATACGGCCCGAACTTCCAGGGTGGATGCCCAATTTTTTGGCCCACCTCATCGTGTATTGCTGGGCGGCCGATCCGGTTGCACGACCCCCTTTTAGACAGATCGTGTACTGGCTTCGGATGGAGCTGGTGGCTCTGGGGGAACGGCGTCTGGCGGCCGCTGCGGCCGCCAAGCCGGCCGCCGCAGCACTTGCCACAGCGCCAGCTGCAGCACCAGCCGCCGCACCAGCGGCAGCGCCGGCTGCAGCGCCAGCTGCAGCACCAGCCGCCGCACCAGCGGCAGCGCCCGCTGCAGCGCCCGCAGCAGCGCCAGCAGCAGCCCAGCCGCCGCACCAGCGGCAGCGCCCGCTGCAGCGCCCGCAGCAGCGCCAGCAGCAGCACCGTCTTGCAGGGGATAAGGAGGGGTGGTGCAACGACTCCCCCATAACTCACCTGACCTGGGCAACAGTAGGTAACCTGGGTGGTAGAGTACAGTCCATGATCCCATTACAAGGAATGACGATTCAATACAGGGCAGTGGTTAGGGGCTAATGATGAGGGGGCCTCTGTGATTGACCCCCTGCTGTGTCAGCAAACAATTGGCTGGTGGCGAATTTCGCCCCCTACCTACCAATGCCATGCCAGAATCCTGCACAAATTGTGTATTTCACCCTACGGACAGGATAGAGACCGTATTGCAGATAGGGTCAGGTACTTTGTTACTCGCACCCCATACCCATGCACAACACGCCCGAGCTTTGTATACCAGTTTCTCAACCTGAAGCTAAAGTAACACAGTGGATCTCTTCACCTAGGATAGGGTGGCAGGAAGCGGGTGATGTGCCAGTGCCAGGCCAGCACAACGAGTTGCCCACGGCGATACTTGATGGATGTGGCATGGACCAGAAAGCCCATTCCACCCGTTTTGTGCCTGCCATTTGCTCACAGACTGGCTACAAGTTTAATGACCTGACGCGCGTTTACAAGTTGAAGCTACAAGCTACCCCTGATACATACATGCTGGACCTGTGGTACGTCCTGAAGAAGTGCATGGGTGCAGCTGTGCAAATTCAAGATCGGCGGCACAATCAGACTGGCCATGCTGAAGGACAAGCCACCGGCGCTCCATCTGGTGGTGGACAAGCTAATGGACAACGACCTGCATGCAGAACCAACAGGCCACATGTCGGAAGGAGGTTCAGGAGGCTCCACCATCAACCCAGCCGACTGAGGAGGTGGATGCTGTAAAGTGCATGGCCAAGATCAGCAAGCTGTTCCACAGCAAGCAACCCAATGTGACACCATCCCATGCTGCGGTGGATCGGAAGGAAGCGGAAGATCTGGGCCGTGAGAGCAACCTTGGACGATTGAAGGGCGCTGGGCTTTGCAGTGCGTACAAGTTATGGGCAATTACAAAGTGCACCCTAGTAAATTAAATGTGTGGGAGCCTTTGTTACTGACACCCATGCCATCACCAGTTGGCTGCCTCAAGACATTTCTCCAAGACCCGTCCTCTCTGGCGGCCTTTCATGCTCTGCCAGTTAGGCCCTGTGGATGCCGAGACGGGAGAAAAGGAGAATGGAGATGGTGCCGGCGAGGAAGGGGATGGCATGGATGGGAGGCGCAAGGGGGATAGGCGCGGATGAGGAGACAGCCGTCGGTGATGCAGGTGGGTGGTGGCCATTTACTCGTAGTGTAAGTAGGACAGAGGTAACGTGATATTTACTGTCACTGGTCATGCTCTGTAGAGCTCATGAACCCTCCAGTGCAAGACGTCTGTTGTGGGGCCGGCACTGCTTTGCTCCTGCTCCTTGACTGGCGTTATTAGCACACGGGCCATTGGTTCCATTTCCGCCTTGTGCACTCACGGCAGATGAAGAGGAGGCAGAACCGGACCTGATGCCATGCAAGGCAGGCCAAAACGCCCGGTGCCTCTCATGCACTGCACCAACGTGCTGGTAGAGGCGGAGTCGCTAGATGAGGAGCTCCTAGAGGATTTGGACGCGTACGGCACTATCCCACCACAGCCACGGCACCAGCGGCGGCGCACGATGACAGACAAGGTGAAAGCACTCAAGGTTCAGGAGGCGGCAGGCACGCAAGCAGCAGCAGGTGCAGCGGCATGTGGCAAGGAACAGTTTGATGGCCATGGGGAAGTGCACTGGTAAGGGGAAGAAGTGAGGTGTAACATGGTTTACTTACGACTTGGTATACAGCAGTAGTCATTGGCAGTGGGGGTGGTGGGTTGAGACAGCGGGCAGGTTCAGATACGCAGAGCAGAGACACAGCTGGGGTGTGTTGATGCGGCCAGAGACATCAGAGACATCACGGTGTTGGTGGCAGGGTGGAGTGAGAGGTTGTGGGTTGAGATTCCTACGGCATATTTCAATCCCCTGCTTTGGGACTCATGCCTTGGGGATATTACAGACACTACTATGTTGGAAGCGGTTGGCGGCAGGGTTCATAGTTGCACAGCGGGCGCACATGCAGACCCTACATTACAGAGCGGTAGGTAGCAGGGCTCTGACGGGGTGACGTTGACAGTCAGTATCTAGTGGCATTTCCTGGTGGTGTAGAGGACCTACCTGTGCGGGGGGGCTGGGGGCCCTCCTGACAGCACCGAGTTAAGCTGGTGCAAATGTAGCATATCATGGAGTGCTTAGCGAAACTGATGTCTTAATGGAATCTGAGCTGGGGGGGATAAGGGGGCAGGTTACATACAGATGGGGGGGTTGGATAAAGCTGTGAGTAAGCCACCGAAGGGGCGGGGCGGAGTTGTCCAGGGGTAGTGATGAAGGGTAGACATTGTGGGTAGGGTAAGGGCACCCTACCCCTACCCCATACACCCCTACCAAGGGGTTGGGTTATGGCGGAAGTGAGTAAGGTCCTCTTGGGTAGGGTAGCGGGTGTGTAGTAGTGCCTACCCAGCTGGGGTCACCGACCTTTTTACGGCAACAGGGGATTGCATAGTTGGTACGTATTTATGTGGGGCCTGCCTCTTAGTGCGTGGGCCCTCCAATTCTTTGGCGAGAAGGTACACCTGCCACTTCCATGCTGCATAGATTTATAAAGACAGTTCCCCCTGAGTGTTATCCTACAGAGTCCTACCTTCCTTGCCGAGCTGCTTTCCAAGCATGGAGGGTCCTACTTTTTTGGGGGTAGGTGTGACTGGCGTGGCATGATGGTTGTCGTACGGTACATAGCCTGGTGCTGCATGATCAACTTGCAGGACGATGTAACGTTGGAAGACAACGAGCGTTTAACCGGCTTATGTTGTGCTGAAGTGTTCTCATTTGGCGAAAGGAGAGGCCCTGGATTGTGTCCAAGCAAACGATTGCCACCACGGCGAGCCGGAACCATCACCATCACTGCACGTAGCTAGGTGCCTGAGTGCGTAATTTTTAAGTATTAATTATTTATTATACTGAAGCGGGTGCTTTGCTGTTGCTTTTATGTAACATATGGAACGAATTATATTTACAATGAATCCGACTAGATCACCGATCGGGGGCCAGGACGATGGTTACAGGGGGGGGATGGAGTTAGCCAAACACGGGAATCTACCACCAAGACCATGTACGACCCAGAACTATTGAAGTCTTCACTTGGAAACCTAGCTGGGCACGGGTTTCACATCAACCACCTCGAATGAACCAGCTGATTACACCTGTAACTGCCGACTCTGAAACCGCTCTAAGCCAGGATAGTGCTGGGGGTCACCTTAACCCTACTAGATGGCTAGATTCTACTTTCTCCATATTGGAGACAGACCAGCACACAAGTCGGCCCGAAGGCACCTTCCGGCAGTTGCACTGACTAAGCGCCTTCCTACGTTGCGCGATTAGGCACCTTCAGACAGTTGTGTTGGTTAGATACCATCAAGCGTTGCTAGCTGTGTATCTGGGGAAGTCGGGCGGGCAGATCGACTGCCCATCCGACTTCCCCACATTCACAAGCTAGCAGTGGGGATGGCATGGCTGAGATGCATGGCTCACGCGCATCAGGCTTACAGGCAACTAAAGAAAAACCAGTAACCATAGGCTAACCAAGCCTGAGTCGGGTGAAACATGGATCAACGTGTCCAGAATAAACAGGTTATAAAGTTCATTTCGGGCTTTGGAGTTCTGAGCTGGTTACGCTTCGGTTTCAAGTGCATGGCTCACACGCATCAGGTGTACAGGCATCCATTACACCAATGTTGTCAGCCTCGGCTGCCTGAGCCGCCAATCAGACCCTGCATTATGACGGTGACTGCCTGAGGCGCCAGATCCTGTCTGTGCTCGAGCAATGGCCCGAAGAGCCGTCCGCAGGGCGGCTAGCGATATTGGTGTGAGCTGGGGAAAAAGCAGGGGGGCAGACCGGCAAATCGGCCAACTTGACTGAGTGCGACTCCCGAGTTTCCACCGCAGAACGCCTATTTCCTGCGGGAGCCGCAGCATTCTAGGCGCGACGTGCAATCCAGCCCATTTCACATATGTGTGTGTTACATGGTTGGGGGTGCGTGACCCCATACCTGTAAAACTACCCATACGAGCCGAAGGCCCAAGGGCAATATCTATACGCCTAAAAGCCACGGAGAAGAGGAAACAACGCACATCAGCCCAGACTAGTGTCCAAAGGGGGTGACGGAGTTTCGGTGAGCCCACTTACGTTCCAACATCCTCGCCAGACGTACTGGTTCCCATTTCATGGCCTCCAACATGCTCTGTTGAGGATCGATTCCCTCTTCAGCACGAATATCATTATAGGCTGGGCATTCCAATAACACGTGTTTTGGGGCGGGGCCCCAGCGCAAAGCGCCCAGGGGGGCCCCGACCTGTAGGATTGCCCATGTCCGTGTGGCCGTGTGTAACGGACCAAACATAATATCTCGCCCTGCTGAAACGCGTTATTGGTACTATATAGCATTCTCTATCGCAAGTACGCAAGCTGCTCATTTGTACATCCGGAGGCCAATGCTCGGGGCCTCCGGAGACTTGCGGTGTGCCCCGATGAAGCCCGCGGCTGTGGGGCGGATTGCTGAGGCCGCTGGCGCTTCGGGGATAAACATCACAGATAGCACCGAAATCCACCCAGCTTTCGTTACCATTTGCCCGCACGGGCATTCCGACTTGCGGTCTGCCGCACTGTCCATGCGGCATGCACCCGGGATGGATGCGATTCGCGTGGAGCCCGCAGGCGGTGCTGACGATTCCGCCGGTGCAAGCTTAGCTCTCACACCATCAGCACTGCTGCAACAAAGCACATCTCCCACCGCGTTGACACTACCCATCAATTGTCACACGTGCCGCGCTAGCTACCGGCCTGTACGGATGCAGGGGGGGCCCGCCCTTTTTCCGGCTTCGAGGAAGCCGACACCCGACTTGTCATCCTCGATTCGGCTATTAGTACCACAACAGCGGCACAACCGCTGCCCCCTGGGGACATGGTACTTGCCCCTTCGTGCTCCGTTTGCCTCCAAAGCCCAGCAACATAAACGAAACTGCATTAGCTTACGATGTGCTAAACGAGGAATGAAAACCTTAGCATGTGTTGGCCACATGACGGCTGCGGCTCCCGAAAAGGGCAGCCCCATCCAGTGCTTATGCTTCGCCATTTGCACTTTCATATTAACGTAGAGTATACGCCAGCCACAGAATGTCGAACGCAGGGCGGTAAGCGGCAGCTCGCGTCGCCCACTGCACCAGCGCAACAAAACTTACAGTTTCTCACAAGCGGCAAAACGGAGCTGTTCACCGGTGCCAAGTTGAGGCGCCGCCTGTGTATGCTTCGCGCACTGTAATACCTTGAGTTACATGTGAGGATCCAGGCGCAGCCCACTGACTCGCTTCATACATTCACGCCCACGCATATACGTGCCCGTGCACGCATGTCAGGTAAATGCCATGGCCTGAGCAACGCAATAAATTCAAGCTACATGTCGCACAGAGCCATCAGCTTGGAGCTGGTCGCTGAGACAAACATTCGCCTGCCGAACAGAACTTACCGGGTTCATGAGCTCCTTGATTAGGCTCAAAGATTCGAGCTTCTTGCGTCGCGCTGGGCTTGCTTATCCGTGAGGATTGACGGCAAAAAAGGTGCCAAGGATTGCGCGCCCGTACAGTATGCTCTTTAACCTCTGTGCCAAGTCCCCATGTTAGTGGAATTGTGCAAACAGGCTCCTAGCTTCCCCCTCTTGGTCGCCCTTTCCCAACGGTTTTGGCCGATTTTCGCAATGCTGTGTCTTTTCCCAACCATTCATGCCGCTCCATAATTTCAACCTCATGCGGGCTTAATGTGCATCTAAACTGCCGGGGGTACGTAAGGGGAACTGTGGACGCAATATATGGTATTTGTGCTCGGGCGAGGGAAAGACACGGGTGTCTACCCAGTAAGGCTTCACGGGCCGTGCAATTCAATTCAGGACATTTCAGGTGCTGAGGTTATCAGTTTCGTTACACCATTACACAATTAACATCATAGGCAATGCCTGTGAAGTAAACGCAATATCCAGGACGAGAATAGACGGGAGCTGCAGAGCCCAGATCGTATGATACCTAGACCAAGCCAAAGCACTAATAGACAACACTCCCAAGCATCAGTCTTCGCCGCTGTTGCAAACCGTCTCGGTTAGCAAAATGACGACAAACTGCCAAGTCGAATCCCTTTCCGCAACTAAAGCGGCCGTACAGGGGTGGGTGGTGGACACTCACTCAGGGACGGGAAAAAACCCTGAAGTAGGTCGGTCAGCTCTCAATAATGCTCGAGGTAAGCTACTGGCAAGCACAACTACCAAGAGAAAGGCCGTTTACTTCTTGCCGCCGAAGGGGAAGCCGCCCTTCTTCGACCCAGTCGCAGCCTTCACCTGAGGAGCAGCGGGAGCATGCAGGTGTTGAGCACGAAATTTGCAGGCAGCGCTGGTGGAGAACAAGGAAAAATGTATTATCCCTTTAAGGATATTTCGCTTAACGAGGTTCCACCCCGATATACCAGATCGATTTGTTTGCAGCGGACAAGGCAAAAGCAAACGCTACATGGGCAACGCACAGGCGCCTGCGATGAAGGCGCGCACCTTCTTGGTGCCAGCTGTGGCAGCCTTGGGAAAGACAACGCCCGCGTCCGTCTTGAGGGTGGCCTCATACCCAGCGTAGTTGTTCGAGTCCTGGGGACGCGCAATCACATAACAATGTCAGAACGAGCATGCAATCCAACACGTTACTGCGGAGCAACGCACCTTAACGACAGCCTCAATGAACCACTCGTTAAAGGACGTGTCGATCTTGGAGGCAGCGAAGAAGCCGCCGATCGTCAGGGCCAGAGCACCTGCAGCCAGCAAATGAGCAAGTTGAGACTCATGAGCAATCCACCTACCAATTGTAGGCATCAAGCTCCCTTGCAGCAACGACATTCGACACGGAATGAGCCTCATACTGATAACCTGACGGATGCAGCAGTAGCATCGGCTTTCAAATCGTTAGAGTGATGCCAGAAGGACCCCGTACAGACACAACCCGCAGCTTCCATCAGGCGGTCAACAAAACACGTGCGCCCCGGAAGGCTCGGAGCTGTTCTTTCCCCCCTGACGACGTGCCTGGGAGGGCAATGCTGCGCGGGTCCAGGTCGCTGCCCGACTCCTTAACCTCCTCCTTCTTCTCAGGGGCCGCGGCAACTGCAGCTGGCTTAGGAGCCTCAACTGGCTTGGGCAGGGAGGGAGGGGCCAGGCCCTTGAACTCGCGCTTCACGGGAGCGGGTGCCGGGGCATCGTCCTGGAAGACCTGCAAAGAGCAACAAATGGAACCAGGTTTAATATGCCTTAAACGCTAACAGCACACCGCATGCATCGCAGCATGGAATCAAGTTCCGCTCCAGCACGAAGGCATCAGAATGCGTGTAACATAGAAAATTACCTTCTTGAGCTCAGGCTGTTGAAGGACAACACCGGCATTGGCCGGCGATGCAAGGAGCGCAGCAGCAGCGACCGCAGCGGCCGCGACCTGGACCTGCTCGAAGGCACCTGCGCCATCAGTAGTGGAGTAGATGGCTCAATCTCAGCTTAGGTGGACGCCGCTTAAGCACTGCGATCAGCTGGTCCCGCCCGCCGGGGATCGGGCACGTCGCCAGCAAGCGCACTTTTACCGCCCGGACCACTATGTACCTCATCTCAGTAAGATAAAGCATCTATAGTTAATCTTCAGCAAGCTATGCTAAAGCTCACCCTTGTGGGCCGAGACCTTCACGGACCGCCTCGAGTGAGCAGCGCAGACGGCAGCGGGGGCCTTGCAGCGGGTGGCGAGGGCCATTTTGATATTGTGAGGTAATACAGGACCCTTACGCTACAGCCGATGTTAGACCACTGAAAATAAGGTCCTGACCCGAACGTTATCCTGGGACGCAAAGGGAGAACGTACGGCAAAGATCCTCGTCGACCGGAAAGGTTGCATCCTAAAGTTGTACTTGCTAGCATCATTGATGTATGAACGTGAGGCATGGATGCTGCGGCATAAATGGAATTGCTAAAAGCGTCTTGGTGAAGCAGCCGGGTTGTCACATGGGTTGAGCTTGTTCCTGAGGGTGCACATTCGCTTTTACTGACCTGGGAGAGCTGGTAATTATCATCAGCGATTGGTAACAAACTAAATTGTGCTTTCCTGATGTAACAAGTGGTTGCTTATTTTAAAGACGTTCTCGTCTTGCTTTGTTCATAAACCAATTGATTAATCTGTTTAGGATTGCTATAATACTGGTAGTCAAGGAAACGTGGGGCTGGACACGCTTTCCTGTCAAGTCGCCATGACCGTGAATAGAGTTGAGAGACGCCTTAGTGACTTTATTATATTGCATCGAAAGGTTTATTTCGCTCTGACGGTGAGAAGACCTTTTTCCAGGATCCCAGAGAGCCAGAGTATGCGCAGACCCGCGGTTCATGCGCAGAGCAGAGAAGTTCGCAATACCCTGACCAGACCGTGGCTACGCGCTAACTGCCCCAGCTGGCATGCGAACATGCAAGAAACACTCTCAAGAAGTGTCTTGTGAGTGTTTGTAGTATGTCGCCTCCCATGCGGATTTGGCTAGCTATGCATGTACGGCTTACGACACGCAAAAGAACAAAGCGCCAGGTACACATTTGACTTCAACACATCGATTCTCAAGTGGACACAATCAGATGTGCGCATTCCATTAGTGATCACGTTACCTATATATTTATAAGCGTGTTAGGGTCTACTTGAGCAGCTGTTCTGAAGGCATCTCCAACTTCAAAAATAAACACCCTGGGCCTCCCCGCCGCTTATGATCAACGTGGTGGCCCGGAGGCTGAAGCCAACTGGCGGAGTAAAGGTTGACCACGCTTCAGCAAACCGGGTGCGTCCTGTCCGCAAAGCAACATGACTTGCCACAGACGTTTACTAAACTGAAAGATGGATCCCGCTGTGCTTGTCAGGAGCTTAGGGAAGAGCTTGAAGGCAAAGCCAGGTCGGTTCGCGTTCAGCACCCGTTGGTAGCACGCTTGGGCCGGTGTCATGCATGAGATTGTCTCAGGGCTTCAGCCGGAAGCTGCGTTTTGCCGTGATTCACTTTCCTTACTAGGACGAGAACACGCACAGCAGGAAGCAGACCGTGGAACTGCTATCCTTCAAGCGTCGTTGCCGCCGTGTAAAGTTTGAAAAGCCAAGTCCGGAACGTTTAGACTTATCTACCCCATGCTTCCCTCTCGGCAGGAACAGCTCCAACGCAGAGGACAAAACCATGGATGCCATCGACGACGCCGATTTGGTTGACGTGCTGGGTGAAATTGAAGGCCTGGTAGAGCAAGAGGTGCGACCCGGCACAGCGGGCCGTTCATCCTCTGATTTTCTTGCTGACTGGCAAGGCGGCACAATACATAAGACTTGTGAGCAGCAGTTGCCTGTTCCTTACATCGCGTGATGGCTGAAGCCAACGATGCAGTTCGAACTGTTGGTTTGCAATTCCATCGCGTAACACCTCAATTCAAATTGGGGCCAGTTCAGCAAGTTGTTCTCATCCATATGAAAATGCAAGCATGATTTGGGTCACCACCATCAGGCGGCGCCATGGATCTTCGCATACGACAACCACTGCATTAGCGCACGATGCGCGGTGTCGAATTGATGTTTGGTCTTCGTTGTCGCATCGTGGCCTCGCCTTTGACTTCTCTTTTCTCCGTTAGGAAGTTACGGGGGATGGCGACGTCAACGCTCAGCTGGAGGCAGCACTAGGCGAGGCGCTAGACCCTACAGAGGAACAGCAGGCAGAGGAGGACGGCACCGCAGCGCAGGAAGCTGAGCCCGCCGAGCCCGAGGATGCCACTGCCGCAGCAGCGGACGAAGCCGACGTTGTAGAACGTGACAACGCCGCGGAGGCTATTGCTGATCCGCAGCCCCAGGCTGATGATGAGACCCCAGCAGCAAGTGCAGATGATGACGTCGACGACGTGCTAGGCGAGATAGCGGCTGCGCTTGAGGCGCAGGGCGGCGTGTTAGCCGGCGAGGTGCGATGTGGGTTCTGGGTCAAGGGCAAGTGTGTCGGGTTTACAAGTCTTGGCTTAAGGAAGGGTTGTGAATAAGCAGATCATAGAAGGCTCTTGGGAGCAAAGCGGTCCACTGTCGCATCTGGGTCTGCACAGAAGTATCGTTGCTGACGACCAGGGCAGTTGTTTGGGGTCCTTGTACCCACAAGACAAGACATCGGTTTCACCTCGCTGTGCCTGGGCACAGGACGCTGCAGCGGACGTCAACACGAACGCCAACACGAAAGCGGACGCTGCGGAGAGCCCAGCTGATGAACCGCCAGGGACCGCCGCCGAAGCTGGCGTTGGCGACGAGGCACCAGCTCCTACCCAGACCGACGCCAATGCAGTAGAAACGGAGGCTAAACCTGTTCCTGGCCTCTCCGCCAAGACTGCGACAACCAAACCCGGCATCACTGTTCCCAAGACTTCTGCCGTCGCTGTTGCACCTGCGGTCGGCCGCAAGGGACTCCTCCCGCCAGTCCGCAAGGCCGTCACCGTTGCGCCCACCAAGGCAGCAGCGGCGCCCTTGACGGGCGCGACCGCAGGCAGCAAACCTGCGGCAGGAGGCGTCGCCGTCAGTGCCAAACCTGCGGCCAAAGCCGCAGCTACAGGCGCAGCCGCAACCGTCAAGCCGGCTGTAATAGGCAAGGCCGCCGCGGCCGCACCAGCTGTAGCTCCAAAACCAGGAGCTGCTGCTAAACCAGTTGCGACAGCGGCCGCCGCCAAGCCGGCTGCTGCGGGCGGGGCCAAGCCCGTAGCGCCTGCCGCAACCAAGGCGGCCGATGGAGCGCCCAGCCGCGTGGGGGCAGTAAAGCCGGCGGCGGCAGCATCAAATACAAAGCCTGCTACCATTAGCGCGGCGAAACCTGCTGCCGCGGCGGCGGCAGCAAAGCCGGTTGTTGCCGGGGCGGCTAAGCCCGCCGCTGTACCTGCGGCGAAGCCCAAGGCTTTGGCTGCACCGAAAGTCATTCAGGCGCGGCTCGTTCCCGATGATGACGCGGAGGACGATGACGCAGCCGCTGTCGAAGAAGCCAAGACCGCAGCAGCACCGGCTCCAGCCAAGGGCGCCAAGAAAGGTGGGGGGAACGGCGACAGGGAGTCGTACACCATAAAATCTGGTAGTGCCACGAAACGACATGCTGCAGCACGACAGCGGCCCATAGCAACCTGCCCTGTGGCGCCGAGCTGCCTTCCATCGCTCATGCCGGCCTGTCAGCAAGCCTAACATGATCCAGGTTGCCCTTACCACGAAGTGTAGCTCTCACTGTTGCAAACTGGTTTTTAGGCATTTCCTTCCAGAAAGCATAGTCCTCAAGTTGCCCCAACAAACAACACCAAGTTCCTAACTTCAGTTTGTCTCGCGTGATTCTTCTTCGCGCGACTGTTGTATTCGCAGTGAGCGCGCCATCTAAGGGCGAGGCAGGTGTGGCCGGTAAGAAGGGCGCGGCAGCTGGCGGAGCTGCCGCCAAGGCGCGCGTCGTGACGGTGGGTGCCAAGGCCTCAGCCGCCTACGAACTGTTCAAGGTCGAGCACAAGCAGCAGCTGATAGGTGCGCTAGTGAATGGGTTGCTCCTGGTGCTGGAGCTTGCATGCGGATGCAGAGGCATTGTTGACCTGCTCAAGCAAGTCGGCTGTTGGCACGCCGCTTTCCCCCCGGGTGATTTCGCTTAATTGGTACGCTAACTGTGTACCATGTTTTTTTTATCTTTATCTTTTCCCAACCATGCGGAAATGGCAGATGAGGGGATGGAGGCGGCTGAGGCGGCTGAGCAGACAGTGAAGGATTGGGCGGCCCTGAGCGCTGAAGAGAAGGCCGAATATGAGGTAGGTGCGTTAGTTTCGGGGCTGGCTTCACGGAAGGAGAGGGGCAAAGTTTATATGGCCCACGCATTAGGTAGATGGAGGGGCTAAGCCACGTGTGATGTACTTGACAGCAAACAACTAACTCGGTACCGCTTTCAGTCTGTTCGCTTGGTTGTGTACATCCACTGCGCCATCCGCATTGGCTGCTTACCAGGAACCTGTACGAATCTCATGCATGCAAATGCAAGTTATAAACTAGCTATTGCAGTCACATGCCGTTGACCCTGCTCATTCATGTCTTTTGTGCTACAGGCACGGGCCAAGGAACAGGCGAGAAATGATAACGACAAGCCGGCACCCACGCAACTCAAGGCCCAGCAAGCCAAGGCTCCTAAGGCCCCTAAGGCCGCACCGGCGGAGGCGGGACCCAAGTACTACACCAATGGCTACATGGTACGTGCGTGACCTCCTATACCTCCGAGAGAAACCTAGATGCAGCTGTAGGGGGCCTTCAGCAATCATTTGCGCCATCGGAAGCCAAGGTCCCCCTCGCTTTAAAAGCTGAAGGTCCCATAGGCTGGGCATTCAGGAGCTCATCCTCAACCGCTCCGTAGTCTCAAAGCCTGCAGGTACGCGCGGCACGATCAATATATGTGCTTGACGTGCTCGGAACCTCTCCCCATGTATGGTTGCTTCCTCAGTTGTTTCTGGAGGAGCGGCGCCCCGAGATCGTGGGTGCCCATCCGGAGGCATCCTTCACCGACGTTGGCAAGCTGCTGGGGGCCGAGTGGCGTGGCCTTGGCAAGGATGACCAAGAGGAGTACAACAAGCGCGCCAAGGTCCGCGTCTTTTTAAGTCCAGGGTTTCCGTTGCCACTCCGGTTGTGCGTGTGGAGCCCTACCACACGGGATGGTGTGCTTTTACCACGGAAGCTTCACGTCTTTGTCCGTATTTGCGGCTTGGGGGTAAAGTAACGCGACCGTGAGCGGCTCTATGCATTGCACAGCATTGGGCACATGGCATGTTACGGTCCCCGCTTGACATGGACTGAGGCACGGATGTGCATTTGTAAGCGCAGACCTTTAAGGAAACGAACTAGAGTATCACAACGCAAGGCCCAGTTTCCCAGGTCGTCTAGGTCTGGCGTGACTCTTCGTAGCTCTTATGATACAATTCCTCAGGATATGTACACGATCTTCACACGAGCACATTTTTGTCTGTCATCATGCGCTGCTCTTTTATCCGTGCAATTCACGCAGGCGCTGAACGCCGAGAGTGGCGCACAGCCGAAGCCGCGGAAGAGCAAGAAGAAGGACGAGGCGGCGGAGGGAGATGGCAAGAAGCAGTCCGGCAAGGCGGCGGGCGGGTCCAAGAAGGCGGCACCGGCAAAGGGGTCTGGCAGGGGCCACAAAAGGTCCGCCGGTGGGGCGGATGGCGACGACCCAGATGGACTCATGAATTTAGCGGTGGCGGCAGCCGAAGGCATGGAGATCGATGGTGATCACGATGACGAGATGGCCGATGTCGGTGGTGGTGACGTTGGCGCGCCCGGCCGCGGCGGCAAGCGGCCCAGTGGCTCGTCGTCGCGTAAGCGCAGTAGCAGCGCCCGCGGCGGCGGTAGCAAGAAGCGGCGGCGAAGTGATGAAGCGGACAAGGCGGAAGCTGACGAGGGCGAGGCCGTTGCGGCTGAGGAGAGCGACGAGAGCGATCGGGAGGATGTTGACTGGGAGGCCCACCCTGCCGAGGCTATCCTGGCAAAGACGTCGGACGGGAGAGTGAGTGACAAAAAGGGGGAGGCGTAACCATCCAAATCGCCTGTCCAGTTTCGGTGTTCTGCCAGGTTTAAAACCGTAGATGAAGGATGCTAAAGATTCGAGCAGAGGTTGAGGTTCTAAAAGCGGCGGTGTGCCAAAGAAAGGAAACCCCAAAGGTTGCGTCCATGCGCTCCGTTGCCAGGTACCGTTGCTTCTACGGCACTCCGGATGCCAGATGATAGCCCTGGCTGCGGTTGTGTCAACGACCTTTTGCTGTATTGCAGTACCTCGTCAAGCGTGCGAGCTTGGGCTTGGACGAGTACGGCATCGTCAATGGGCGTGCCGTCAAGCGCCAGCGGCTGAACATGGGCAGTGATGCGGCTGCCGGGGCAGGAGACAGCGAGGCGTCTCTGCCCGTGAGCATCGAAATGGTGAGTGGGAGGGGTTGCGGAATCTTATCGTGTTAACTGTCTGGTGGCTGGCTTGTGACAGATCCTCCCAGAACGTTGTCGCGCATCAACCTGGCTACACTGCGCCCGTTGTACGTCGTTGGTTGATCTGCCCTGGGCGCGGTAGGAACTGCTAATGTGCGCCCAATGCCGCTCTTTCTGCTTCTGGGTCCCGAGCCGCCGTCGGTATTGGTTGCCGGAGGTGAACTCTATGGCGGGATCAAGAGTGCTGCGGATTTTTGCAACCCTCGTTCGGGCGATGTTGGCTGAAGGAAATAATCAACGGAAGCGCGGACACTCGAAACTCTTTCCCTCAGGTGGACGAGTTTGAGGCCTTTGAGCGTTCCTTCTGGGCCAGCATCCAAGACCGCTCGGATGGAGGCGATTTGGACTTGGGTGAGTGTTAGGATGATACGTTACACACATCCTCATAATTGCATGTCAACGCGCTCGCCAAACGATTGCCATTGTGCTACATTGAAGCATTGGGCCTAGTGTAGGGGTCAGCTACTTACCTAACCATCTATCCTCATTCGCCACCAAATGCCCTGGCTATGCCAAACGTACGTGTATCGTGCTTTAAAAGGTTTTGGTGTTCTTATTTTGCGCCGGCTGAGACCCTGCCGTACCCAATGTTTCCTTCCATGTCTGCCCTCGTCTTAAGACGACCTGGGGGAGAATTCCCCACTGGAGTTGTGTTACTACCTGGGCAAGCTGCGGGAGAACCGCATGGCGCTGCACCCCGCAAGCATAACCCGTCGCGACAAGGACACCATGATCCGCGTCCCCGCACTAAGGTATGCAGGAGTCGGTGTCTGGGACGATTGCAATTGGGGGCAAGGGAGGTGCTTGTGGACTAGGGCGTTATGTAACAACGGTGTGCCTTCGTCGGTGCGCAGCCTGCAACATTTCGCCTGCCGGTGGGTGCTCGTTGCGTCTGGTGGATGCTTCGGGTTGCAAGGTAGGAATGGTTTGGACACCCCAGATCGCAAGTGCAGGGACTTCTTATCCTGCTCTCCATACCTACGTGCACCACATATTATCGGCTTGGCAGTAACCGCCCTATCCCACCTTGCCCGGTTATACCTTGCGATGTACTGTATTGTATATACAGTACTGTACCCTGCAGCGCAATTGACGGATTGTGGACACAAGTCACGAACCGAAAGCCCACATGACTCCATTTTCATTGTAAGCAGGCTGTCTATGGCCGTCCAGCGCGTGCTGATGCTGGAGCGGCAGCGGGCGGATAACCTGGCGGCGAGGCTGGCGGAGGCGGAAACAAGGTTAGCGCAGTACGAGGGGCAAGGAGAAGCCGAGGAGGGGGTCGTCGAGGAGGCGGAGGCTTAGGAGGGCAGCCGCTGGTAAAACTGGTTGAACGCAGGATGAATTCGTGTGTACATACAGGTGATGCCGTACAATATTCCATGCGCAAGGCAGTTCGAGGATATTGAACTGGTAGGTAGGCTTGCGCTAGGAGGGCGCCACTGGGCATAACAAGAGGCGAAAAACTGAAAATTGAATGCAGGAGGCTTAAACGAAGTCGGTGCACACTTGTTGATGGACGCCGGCGCGTGCGCATGCGTGCAAATGCGCGTGTGATTTCCTCATAAACTGAGTTAATTTGCTGCTCAGCTTTGTACGGTGTGGGATTTTAGCCAGGGCTGAATGAATGCGGCATATATCGTAACCAGTCCTTCATGTGATCTTGGGAACTGTAAAGGTGTAATCGGCCATGCAGAGAAGCTGTTAATGCAGCAGACAACCATTATATTCGGGGGTAAGTTCCAGGCGAGGCGAGGACATCTACCTATGCAAGCGTCAGTGCAACCTCCAACCCAGTCACAATTTCCCCAGGACTCGAAGATTAGGAAATACATGATATTTGTTTGTGGATTGCACGCTTCTAGTTTGCTTGGGTGGAGGCCAATAATCAGAAGAAATGGTACTGTACGGTTGCGGCAGCGAACACTGCCGATTGGCTTTAAAGCATGGTTATCGTCAATTTCCTCAACTGCCGTTGCCCCCGGCTGCCCGCCCGCTGTCTGCCTTACCTAACGTCGATAACGCTACAGTCCGTTCTTAGGTACGGTCCGTTAGCAAATGCACGGTCGTCCTGCAGCTGGACTTCACGTATTCAGCCACGCACGTTACGCGCACGTGCAACCACAACCGCAGCAACCCGCAGCAACTCGTTGCGCGCCAGCACCGTCACCTTTCTGATTATCGCAGCACGAATTGCACAGTTATCGGTTTCATAGGGTTTGGAAGGGAGAAGAAGGAACTATTTGACGCCGCAGCTAGAACCAAAGACATTTAAAACACTTCCTCCTCCACGTCCCGCTCCTCGGCTGCTGCACTAGCGAAGGTCGCTTTAGCTCCTGCTCCACGCCCTCTCCGCCGCGACGCCCCTCCTGCTCTGCTCTTATCCCCTTTCTTCCCCGAGCCTCTTTGGGAGGCTTTAGCGGGTGGTGAAGGCAACGCTTCGCCTTGGCCCGGTCCGCCTCCGCCGTCGCCCTCGGCAGCTCCTCCTTCGGAGGCGCCGCTACCGCTCCCAGCCGACGCTCGCGATCCCACAGCTAGATCCAATCCCACTTTGGTGTGCAGGCCAACAATGACCAGCTGGCAGTTGCAATGGCCGTACAGCGACCTGGGCGAAAGCTGGCTACAGCCAAGCACCACCAATTTGCGCAGGCGTGTACATCGATCCAGCAGCGGACCCAGGCAGCGGTCGGATAGCTTCCTGTAGAGAAGAGAGGGGAGGGCAGGGAAAGCGGGCGACATGTTGGACAACACATCGATAAAAGTGTGCAAGGGCCCTCACGGTGAGTTGGGCGGTTTCCCGTACAGCTACCGCACGGCGGGGGAGCCAAGACAATGTCAAACATAATAACACCCCTTGTTAAACGGATTGGTATGGCTGAAAAGCCGCAAGCCTGATGCCGAGTGTCATATTATGTTGTCATATCCTCAATGGGAATGACAATTGCTATAAGGAGAGAGCTCCTGTCCGCACGCCATCCCGACCAACCGCAGGGCCCGTCCCTTAATACCCCCCACATGCGGTACCTGCAAAAGGACATATCTAGGTACTCCAGCGTTTCATGGCAGCATGATGTGAGCGCCCTCGCCACTGCGGGCCCCACCGCCGTGACACCACTGAGGGTGAGGTGGCGCATGGTGCCCATTCGGAGCAGATCAGCAAGAGCCTGGTCTCCTAGCCGTGTGCACCGCCGAGCGGAGAAGACCTGCGGGGGAGGGAGGAACCCATCAGAGCTCTAATAATTCAACATCTGAATGAAAGCCAGGAAGGTTGAGGAAAACGGAAATATATAGGATGGAGGATGTCGAGAGCGTGCGTGAAGACTACACACTCACATACGTTTTTGCACACATGCATATGCGTATACGTGGAGGAACACCCGCTCTACTTGCTTGTTGTGACCCTCTACTTGGCTCGCTAGGGTCATGTGGCAACCACGAAGCGCACGCCCGTACGCCCCTACGCCCCTACGCACCCGTAACGCTTTGCATTGCGAAGCCAGGGCCTGCACGCCACGATCTGTCACCTTGCCGCCGCACTCGTCCAATCGAAGCACCTCCAGCTCCAATCCACGGGTCGCCGCCAGCGCCGTCAGTCCCTCGTCCGTAACGCCCTGTCAAAACCCATGAAACCCACCATGTCGCACCGCAAACAACCGTGGCCCCGAATAACTAGCGTTATTAGCGCTGAGGACCTCATATGCCACCGCCTGCAATGGGGTTTTCCCTCCTCCCCCTCCCCTGCCCTCCCTGGGCCATGGCTACCTTTTCCCCTCTGACGCAACCTGCAGATGGAGTCCAACAGCTGCGGGCAGAGAGGGATTCTTAAAAAAAAGATCCCTTCTTCGTAAGCAATGCACGTCTGCCCTCCCCCAACAGCATGGATGCCAAATGACGGCACCCTGGGTGTGGTGGTGCATCTCATCAACGCATTCCAAGGCCAAAGGCCATGTCAGGGACACCATCTTGGGCGGCACCCTGTGGGCCCCATCACCTTCTGCAGCTAAGGCACACCAGACAAGCAAGCAGGCTGGCAGACATGGATGCATCATGATGCAGCGCCACGCGGTTCAACGGCCCACATTATCCGCTAACATATCCTCCCCAGCCCCCAAGAACCGTGGGGCCCAGTAGAAGACATCTGGGGCCCGGCTCCACCCTGCCCCACTGCACCCTCCACCCTATACCCCCATGTTTCCATCATCTGCCATCCCCGCCTTCACCGCCCCACCTGGCAGCAGCGGATACTGAGTTCCCTCAGCTGGGTCAGGGAACCCACCGCCATAAGCACCGCATCATCCAGCTGCGGTCAGGTGGGTGGAAATCATGCGCAAGAAGCAAAGGTTAACGGGCGCAGCAGAGCCTGGTACGTGTCACACGCATGTTTCGTCTGTATGCATGTCAGGTGTGCTTCTCATCATCTTCGTGTGCTTTGCTTCCGTTTCCTCCCCTTTTTCCCGCACCTCGGGTATGCCGTCCAGCTTCAGGCTCCTCAGTCGGGTCATGCGGGGCAGCGACACTACCAACGAATCGGAGCTGACGCCCCGACAGTCCGCCAGGTCCAGATGGCTACAAGGGCGGCATGGGCAACCCCGGGATGCAACGTGAAGGCCTGGCCGTGGTTGGGTGAGAGGCCGCACCCAGACATATGGAGGATCTCCCCAAGCTGAGATGGACATGGATAAGATGCTCCTTCGCATTAAGAGTGCAACGCGATTACGTCGTCAAGGTCTCGTCAGGTTTCTAGCGCTAGGATATGCATGGGAATAGACGGCGCACCGGATTCCCCGTTTTTCCTTTTCCCTTCCCTGTACAGTTGGAGGAGCGAGGTCAAGTCCATGTTCCATGTCCTCAAGGCCCCCATGAAGCCCACGGTGCGTTCCGACTAGTTACCTTAGCCGCGGTATGAGTGCGGGCAGCTTGTCCACTACAGCTCCCGTCAGTCGGGGACACTGGGGTACCGCCAGCCGGTCCAGGGAGGGGGCGACGGACAGAACCTGTAAGATAGGGTCCGGGACGAGAGCGAGTGGGGAAGAGAACAAATCAGTAAATCCCGGAAGGTAAGGTACGAAAATGGCAGCCAGAGCCGCCGTCTTGCTACCGTACCACACAAATCTGTTCCCTGTAAAACAAGCTCGTGTCTCACACACACACACACCTTCTCCAGCCCCGCATCCGACAGGCGGTAGGCCCCCGCCAATTCTAGGGACTCCAGCTGCTCCAGGGGCCCCCCGGCAGCCAGCAGCCCCGCGGACTCGTCGCCGAAACCACGGCCACAGAAGCCTAGCTCCAGCCGCTGAAGCCTAGATGGGGAAATGTGGGCAAAGAGGAAATGACGGAGGGGACAGATGGTTACGCGGTAGGGCGGACGTCAGGTTCGGGGCGGTGCTGGGAGGAGGTGCAGTCTGAGGAGGAATTAATTCGCATCTGGCAGGATGCCGTCACAAAGGTGGGGTGCCATCCGCAATGTCCTTCCCACCCCTCTCATCCTCTTCAACCTCCTTACTTGTTGTTATCCAGCACGCGCAGCATCTCCCCCATCGCCGGCCCGTCCAGCTGGGTGCATTCGGGCAGGACCACCTCCGAGGGGCTGTCCGCGAAGAACAACCGGGCTACCTGGAGGACATGTAATCATGACATGAACGAAAGGCAGGCAGGGGACTCCAAGTCGAGGCCTACACTAGGACGTGAGGCGAAAAAAACCCTCCTACAATCCCCCTTCCGTTGGGTAGGGGCTGCACACACACATGGGCATAGGCGGCGGGCAGCAACCGAGTCCTGAAACCAGGCACGAACGCGACGGGGATTCAAAAGTAGACTTTTAAGGAGCAACGAAAGAACAGTGTTGCATTGGGGTGGTGGGATGAGATACCCTAAGCTGGCAACAACGGGGGCCTTTCCCCGGCGCGACACGGTTCGGCGCCCGGGGCCTCCCTCGAGGACCTGCCCCGGCCGCTCGCCCCACCCACAGCTCCACGGCATGGCGCAAACGCGGACATTACTGTCGAAGAGCGGTCCACACCCGCATACTCATGGAAGGGAGTGCGAAGAAGCATTACGGCCCACGCGAGACCCGAGAGGCGCTTTACGGTCTCAATAAATTCCCCACCCACATACATAAGCAGCCAGCTACGCCGCCCAGCCCTACACCATCATATCTTTTTATACACCGCCATTCTGTCCTCTACCCTGACACCCGAAACCACCCCCCCCATCCAGGCCCCACCTCGGGGGACATCTTCCTGCGGGCACATGCACTGGCTGCCATGCGGGCCTGCGGGCGGAGGGCAGGGGGGCCACGGGCGGGTAAGGGGGGAGGAGGAGGTGAATGGTGAAAAAAGAAACAATGCCGGCCCTGATCGCACGCGGGAGTGGGGAATGAGGCAGTGGGGAAAGAAATTGAGTGTTTGATGCAAGAAGGTGCACAGGGCATGTCCAGAGGGCCATGGTGAGCGAAACGCATACGCGAAAGGGTTTGGAGGTGGAGGGGAGGCTACAGAGCTACCAGACATGGCGTCATGGTTGTGATGGAACATATGCAGGAATACAGACCCCTGGCATCAACGCCAACACATCCATATCCCGGGGTCGAATGAAAACGGTTCCCAAAACCTTTGCCCCTACCTTACACTCCTCTTCTCATTCCCAGGTCGCTGCCTCCTAACCCGCTCAAGTATCCATTTAGACTACGCACGGCCGCTTTCTTAACCCAGCGATTTTCCTGGGCCCATCTCTGGCGGTCAATGACTCCTAGTTGTGGGTCGTCTGGGTCGCGTTAAGGGTGTTTCCCCCTTATCCTGCTCCCCTCTGCCCCCACCCGAAACCCCGGTCTCATGAAACACACACACACACACACACACGAACACACGAACACACGAACACACGAACACACGAACACACGAACACACGAACACACGAACACAAACACACATACACACACAACCCGCGGCAGAAGCCCTTGGGATTTTTGTCCGATGTCCCCCTGTCTAGGCACTTATCGTTTCCATCGCCCCCACCCAACACTTCCCCTCCCACGGCCTTCCTCTCTCTCAGCCCCGCCTGCTACCAATACCCCACGCCTGCACGCCGCACCCGCTGGCCGAATCGTACACGCACTCGGAGCCACGTCGTGCTTCTTAACCCCCACCTTGATCACGTCCGGTACGCCCCACAGCGACTCCACACAGTCCACGTAGGCCGTCAGCACATCCAGACAGATCTCAAACAGGGGCCGTACAGGGTCACGCGTGTGGGGGCCCAGGAAGGGGTCACGGGAAGGCTGCCACCCCGCATCCCCTGCTGCTGCTGCTGCTGCTGCCGATGATGTGCCCTCCGCGAAAAGGGCTGAACAAGTTAAAAAAAAACACGGAGGGGGATGGACAAGATAAAAGCATGGAATACAACATTCCAGTTAGGCGGCCACGCAGGGAAGCCAGAGGTGGGACTGAAAAGTATGCAACATCGAGGGACAGGAGCAGGTCCGTCCGCCCGCCGCTACCGTCCGTACCGTCCGTACCGTCCGACCCACTGCTGGCCTGTGCAATATCCCTCTGAGGGAATCCATCGACCTGAGTGAATCCATCGACCGTTCGTATCCGTAAACAATGCTATACACACATGCACACACGCACAGAGGCCCTCCCTCTCCCGCACAAGGGGAAGACCTTTCTATGCCTACACGCCTACGCGACGCACCCTCCTCCTGCTGCCCCTGGCACTGCAGCTTTGCTTGCCGGTCGTGTTGCGCCTTCTCCCGCGCATTGACCAGCTCTATGGCACTGCTCCAGGGACCCAGCGTGCGAGCCTGGGGCGGGGCGGGGGTTGATGGAAATGAAAGGGACGGGTTTGCAGTGTGGGTTGGGAAGAGGAGTCAGAGGTCTAACAAGAACTAAGCACGACGCGGCCAAACCAGGCAGGAGGTTGCCGTGCGGGCTGCGGCACGTGATGCCAGCGAGCATTGACGGGGCCGAGCGCGAATGGAGCAGTTGAGCCGAGAACACGGGTGGGGGGGCAGGGGGGAAGCAGGGCATGGAGGGGAAAGAGGGAGCTGGAGGAGGAAGAGGAAGAGAAGGGAGGGAGAGCTGGTCCTGGGAATTTATAAAGCCGCATAGTGAGGAAACGGCTTCTCCAGGGTTTACAAGGCAGGAAGCTGTTGGGGATCAGAGGGTGTGTGGTGCTTTGTGGTGCTGTGCGAGCGGCCCTAGCGGCGTTCTGCAAGGGGCGGGCCCCGGAGAGTCCCGTTCAAGCCAAGCGCATTTATAAGTTGATAATATCTTCCGACCTGGTCACTGCCGACGTGCACATTGTTGTCACCATCATCGCCATCATCGTTGAAGTGTGCAAAATGCGCCGCCCGTCGCCTTGCAATGGAAGCCATATCATTTCGGCGTGACCCTGCCTCACGGCTCGTGTCCCCCTTCTGCGCCTGGGCCTCATTTTCCTGCACAGCTGTACCATCACCATCTCTTTGCCGTTTCTGGGACATTATCAAAGTAATTTGCGTTTCTTTTTCTACGATACAGAGGCTCTCCCTCAACCATACACTCGACGTTTCCTTTGTTTCAAGCTTCTTGCGCCTATACGGTCCCCCGGCCAAACCAAGAGCTTCATAGCTGGAAAACCCTGAAAAAGAGATAAGCTTAATGATTTATACTTTTTGATGTTTCTTGCATTGTAACCTTGAACGGCCCAAACGAGCCTAGAGGCTCATGGGCTGTCCAGCTGGAAATAAGGACGACCTTACGAATTTACAAACAATCCAAATCCGCCCTCATTCATATACTGTAACCTCCCCCAAAACCCATGAATTCTGGTCGTGTGTGTGCCGCGTCACGGATATCCGTTGACATATGTACCAGTACCGCCGGTACAATATTTCATACCTTGTCGTGTCTTGACAACCGATGTGGAGTAAAGGTCAACTTTGTGCCCATTTGCAGCAAACCGACATCCTACTGGACACATATAACCAGCCGGTACGAAAGTAATGCTAATTGCCCATTGCGATTACGAATGCCGTCCATGATCGATCATCAATGCCTACGATCGTGTACATACAACCTCCCGGAGAAGGTCCCAATCTTCACAGCCCCGCAGGGGTAAAGCGCCGGGGTACCCGAGCAGAGCGTGACGCTCGTCCTCCACCTGGACGAGCCGATGCCCACCGCCGATGCCCACCGCCTTTCCTCTCCGACTGTCACTCGATGAACCACATTTTTATTAGGGCACTAACTCGGAACAGCCATCACGAATTTAGGACAGCTGGACTATCCGCAAGACTGCTGTGCATTTTTTGACTTGACGAAAATCACGACGAATTACAGGGGGATACGGTACTCGTACTCATTAAAAGGGCACAATGAACGACATAAAAGCAATAATTGCGACGCTGCCTTTCCATTTTTAATTCAACAACTTTGGAGTCTATGGCAAGTGTTTACACGTATCATCCGCCCCATAGGGTTGATGTCATGGGAACTCGTACTAAGCCAAGACAAAACGTAAAAAAACTCTAATGAACGCGTATTTGCAAAGCCCAGGCTGTTACCACAAAGCATTCCAAGATTAGGCGGCTACCACGCCGGCTGAGGCGGCGGGTGAATACGACAGGAAGTAGTACGGCTTGCTGGTAGAAGAGCTTGCAAGTCAGCGAAACACGAGGCGTAAACAGGTCTGTAAAGTAGCTTCACTATGGGGAGAGTTTCACTCATCGGCATGCCCAGATAATCCGTGCGAATTCACTGCATCCTTACTTGGTGCCTGCAACACTTCGTACGAGGGGTTAACGCTGACTAACTTAGTGACTATTCCCCTTGCTACCGAGTTATGATCCGAGAGATCATCCGCGCCGAGCACCCGTTGCATTTCTCGCTGAATTACGGATGACATTAGAAAGCTTTATGATGGGGATGCCCATTCACTCCCGGCGTACGGCAAAAAGCTATCCAGCACGCTGCCGCAAGTTGCTCACACTAATGGAAGCTTATGCACCCGCTGCCTTGCTAGCTAGAATGACGAGCACTCACCCTCCTGCACACGGCCGCTAACGAAGTCTTGGTCAGGTAATATTCCAGCAGCAAACCACCTCAGAGGTTTTCCCCACCCACGCCGATGGCTCTGCAATGTCGAACCAAGTAACTAACGGTTGCCATCCGCATGCCCTCACGTACATTACCAGAGACCTCATGTCTTTCTGTCAAGTTACAAGTTTTGCACAAGTGTGTGGGGCCCCGTCCATAAAAGCCAGGGGAACCATACACGGTCAGTTGTCCTGATTGTGGTGGCGAAGGAAGACGGTTGTGGTTCTCCCCCGGTCGCGCGTGTGCATCTGTACTGTGACGTGAAGGGTCCGTCGAATTTGAACACATTGGCCGGGCCGGCCCCCTCACGCACCGCTCAGCAACACATCAACAGCCCTGGCCGTCTCCAATACGCAGTACGCACACTGTGCGATACACTTTTGGACTTCCTGGATGGATGGATGTGCCCCATCCCCTGCCGCTATCACCCTTTTTCCGCGCCTCTGCATCTGCCTGCTGCACGCCTCTTTGCTTAAGTCATCTCGCTCACGACTCGCCCAACAATGGAACAGAACGCGCACGCAAATACGCCGCCACGACAAGCCAACCCTTAACGAGAATGTTGGTGCTGCGTCTGCTGCGTACCTTCAAATAATGTCGGTGCATGCCGCACAGCAGGTATTAACTTTCTACATGCCTCGCTTGCATTACGTATGATGACCGGTACACACATGTAAACAAATGTACCGATAAACAAACAGGCAAGCAAAACAAAAAAAGGATTACGGCGAAACCATGAGCTTCGTCCGAATATTCGTTGATGAGCAATCCTCCCCCCAATCATCCAATCATTCACGACGTCGACGTACTAAACTTGAAAAACTTTGCATATCGGCGTGCCGTTATGCACGCATGTATGTCGGCAGTCGGGTTTCCGTGTACTACTGCCTCCATTTGTGCGTGCATACATCAAGAGCAACACAAGCACGGGAATCGAACCATCACCGGTCCCCTATGCGCAGGCACGTAGATTGTTCTTTGTCGCCCATCCGCCATTCCTTGCAGGCAACCGTTCCGCACACACACGAGGATCTTTAGCAGTTAATCTGTTGATCAATTCATTTCCCCAGTACGCCAGTCAAAGGTGACCATCCCAACCTGATACGTGCCGGTGGGGTGTTGCCACACGCCGACCATTCCGAACAAGTGCACATTGACGACGTCATGGACGCAAGAAATTGCACTACGACTACCACTACTACGACTACTGCTGCTGCTCCCGGCCACGCGCACACGGCAGCGCCACGACATAACGTCTCCGCTAGCCTTGCGGTTGTGTGCGTGCGTATCCCGCCAAAGGTGCGTCCATCATTCAAAAAAACCGAAGCGTACACTTTCCCTTCAACAACATTTAAACCGTCGCCTCACACACAGCTCGCATCGGCACACGTAATTCCGCAGGCTGACGCATGCTGTAGGCAGTATACACACGCGTCGCTTTGGTATCCGCTTGCGCTGCAGTGCCTATTGGCTCTTGCTTTCATTTCGTGAAGGAGTCATGATGACGTCGTTACGAATAAATTAGTCATTGTCTCAATGGTCACCACCGCCAGCCATTGGCCAACCGAATGTAAAGCTGGAAAGCAGCAAGTAAGTAGTACACTAGCAGCACCTAGAGGCTCAGACACAACACGTAAAGCAAACACCTTCTACCCAGCTTAGACTACATACATTTACTCGCTTGATAAAGGAGGGCATGCATTCTGCACCTCCACCATCCTCACACTGCTCAGCAAGGCGCTACGAGCCCTAACTCACCAACACATAGCAGTTCTGATAGGTAGGCAGATAGAAAAGTAGAGAATTTTAGGTAGATAGATAGATACATACGTAGATAGGTAGGTAGGTAGGTAGGTAGGTAGATAGATAGATAGATAGATAGATAGATAGAGGATTCTCCAGAGTTAATAGAATCTGCGGAAAGACCGCCGCACACGCATGCACTGACATCCGACCGATGCGTCAAGTTATTACCTTGAATTCACGCAGCGAGCATGCCTATGTCCCCCGCATGCATCCTTGCGTACCAGGGAACAACACATACCCGGCATCCACGTATTGCACCCGACACACCAGATACGGCTGGCTGGCTAGCTAGCTAGGGCATCCCAAACGTATGGGGCTCGCTGCTGCTGCAGCCAGCCATGCCTGACGGCAGCCGGGATGAAAATATGGAGGCACCACATCCTCGATGCATTCAACAGCAGTGGCACATCGTCATGATTTTCAACAGCGCCAAACCGCGACCAGGGGAACATCGGCGGTATAGCGGCGGTCCAAGGGAAACTTGATGATGATAATGACGTTGACGACGTTGGTGATGGCTGGGGACCGTGATAATAGCGACAACGCTGATGGCGAAGATGGCAATGATGATGGCGACGGCTCCATTGGCGTGATTAAAGGCAGCAGCATCCTCGATCCGGCGACGTGCTGTTGCTGAATGGGCCGCCTGTGAACGGACCGTAGTGTACGCTGCGCTCGCCTGTGCGGTGCCACGCGCATACATATATGCACGAACAACACTTCAGTTATGGAAGTGTAAATAGATGTTGTCTGCATGCATATGCTGTAGCCGCACGCGGTGGTGGTGGTTACAGCAGTGCATGGGCAGTTTCAGTAATTCACAGCACCCACAGCACCCAGACAGCCAAGCCTGTTCAAATGCCTTACCTACCCGTGGAACTCCCCAGTCACAAGTTGCAAAGTATTGTTGCCGCTCTGACAGATTCACGCAAAGAAAATGAGACAATCCGTAGACACACACACACACACACACACACACACACACACACACACACAAACACACACTCTCTCACACATTGGCACGGAGGGAAGGAGCCCATCCATCCACTGACGCCCATACCACCCCACTCTTACGCACACGAGCGAGGTTGGGCGGCCCAGGCATCCATCCATCCATCCATCCATCCATCCATCCATCCATCCATCCATCCATCCATCCATCCATCCATCCATCCATCCATCCACCCATCCATCCATCCATCCATCCGCATTCATACACATGCATGCACTGCAGCTACATGCGCATAGGGCGTTTCTGTCGGGCTTCCGGCACACACGAAGACATAAATCCATACCTAAACACTGTATATGCACGCACACAGGTAACAGTGTAAGCGCCTCACCGGAAATGATAAAGTGGTTGCTGAGCCAGCTAATGCCGCCTTCGCCCAGCATGGCGGCCGTGTTGCCGCACACCAGGATGGGCTGGTTTCTGACCAGTCGATGGCGCATGTCCAGAGTGTACGCCTCATCACTGCCCTCGAGGGTCCCCTTGTACACCACCCACTGCCCGTAGTCCTCGCATGTGTCGTCCAGCAGCCTGTACACATAAGAACCAAGAACCTCATCACTACGCAACTTGACAATGAAAACACGCATGCTATCTGCCGCCAGGTGCACATGCACGACGACCACGCTACCAGGTGCACATACACCACACCTCGGTGCATGCGTAAAGACCAACTGGCTGGTCAATAGGCATCTGTCCGTTAGGAGGATAACACTGTCTTTCGAAGCTAAGGCTCCAGACTACGTCTGCGCGGATACGTGTCAGGCTTGACGTTCATGGGCCTAGGTTCCCTCCGACCAAGCGCATGGGCAGGAATGATGATGACCCATACAAGCACTGAATGGGTCTACCATCCAAGAGAACAGCTGGATAGAGCAGCGAAGCTGGCTCCCCTGCGCCCGCGTGTTTTATTATTTTGTGTGTTACATGGTCGTGAGTATTGTGAGGTACATGCATCGCACCCTCATGCGTTTCATTTTGCGCTGTTGGCCCCTAGCTGCAGATGGATAGGGGAGGCAGCGGGGTGCCGCACGAAGGCCTGGAACCTGGGGGAGCTGTGACGCACATGGCAGCCGTTGAGGCTGCGCAACATGTCCGTATCTTGGCGAGCCCATGGAGCCGTCAATGGTGCATGGTGGTGCCGGGCAGTGTAGTAGCGGACCTATGCAACGGCCTCCCAAGATGCTGGCACAGCGATTTAGCACACGTTTCTAGATGAGGTGTTTGCCGTACTGTACAGCTACTGCGGACAGATCATGACCAGCCGAAGCTTGCGGCTTCACAGCATCTTGCTTAAGCGGCGGATGGCTATCAGCATGCTGTCGTAGTTTGAAGGATTTCGTTTGAGCTGATGTTTCTGGACGACATTCTTGGTTGTTTAGTTCTTGGGGTTCCAGCTCGTATGAAGTATGTTGCCCTTTCGTTTTAGGTGACACTACTGCCCGAGGTGTAAAACTCTCTCACACACACACACATACACACACACACACGCGCGCACACACACGCACACACACACACACACGTGCAGGTGTCAGCAGAGGAAAGTAGTCCGGCAACTAGTGAAAGCTGCATTTTTGTGGGTAGGGAAGTTCAGTTTTAAAGGGCAGGCTCTGTAGCCGTATGTCTCCTGAAAGCGCCGCCCCTCAACGTGCGGGAAGCCCTCTCCGGACACAGGCCTGACCCTACGGGTTGGACACACATCGGACACTGGCGCGAAGCTGCGCAGCATGGCGATATGGACATGCCCTCCAGAAATAATGATGTCCCAGCAGGGTGCCATGCATCACCCTAAGTTACAGCAGAATGGCACGGACATAACCCTACATACGGATTGCTTTGCAAACCCAGAATCATGGTAAAATAAGCTAGTGCGTGCATCCAATGTCTCCACTGATAACGGGTTCACTGTAAGCCGTTCGAAAAAGGGATTTCCACACCGCCGGTCGACCGGATGGAAATGCACTAGGGAGGGCAACAGACAGATAGTCAGCACCGGGCCCACCCAGCACCTCCTAGAGCGACTACCTAGGCTGACCTCCACCTTTTCCAAGCCAGAACTACTCCTTTAATGCGTGCCACATGTCCGCCGAAGCGTACCCAACGGCGCAGTACTCGTATGTCTACTTGCACCTCTGTGCTCATACCCCTGCCTGCATGACTGGGGACCCGCGGCGGAAAGCGCGTTTCAACTCACCTATTTTTCTGTGCTCGGATCTGAAACGTTGACAGCTTACTGTTCAGCAGCATGAACTGTGCCTCCTCCTCCACGCTTTGCAAATCCCACGGCTCAACGCGCATTACGCGAGGCTGACGAAATCCAGCGGCCCGCAATACAGTGACAAAGTCTCCAAAGTACATCACCGGACCCACGCCTACAGCCTCCAGCGCCTCCGTAGACACGTCGGAACACAGCCTTCGGTTACATAGCAGCACTGAGACAAACAACTCGCCGCCCATCTTCAGCGCTGCGTACAGGACCTGCAGGGTGGATGCAAGCGCCTCGGGGGTGCCAACCGGAAGGCTCGAGACGGCTGCCAAGTGGAAGGCTTCCGCCGGGGGTGGCTGTTGGGCTAGCTGCTCGAGCCGGAAAACCAAATTCCCAGGCGGCGGGATGCTCAGCGTGTTCGCCCAATCCAGAAGCTGACTGTGTGCCAGGGCCACCGCAACTCCGGCCGCATTATCACTACTATTTCTCAACCAGCGGCTGGTGATTAGAGCGGCATCAGCAGGGTCATTAGTAGCTGGATAGGTAGTGCCGGGTCGTCCCGGTGCTGGAAGAGTAGGGCCGTCGTTTCTATCTTTGCAATCATGGGTGCGGCTGCCGCAGTCAACGTGCTGTGGTGGCGGTTGTGGAAGCTCTCCTGGGTCGAGCCAGCACTCCACCAAGCCAGCTCCGCCGACTAGCGCAGAGGCAGCAAATGCATCGTGGATTGCAGCTGGGTCGGATGACGCCAGGAGCAAACGGAGGCCTTGGATGCCGCTGCACGGGAACGGCAAGCCTGCTGGGTCTGGGTAGGAGGCCGAAACTGCAAGAGGCAACCTCCGCATGTCGCTGCTCGGTTCTCAGGCTAGCAATGTGGTGGATTGAGGCTAGAAGCGTGGAGAAGGCGCTTGATTAAGAACACTCATAACTCTGCTGATCTCGTCCATGAAGCCATGCAGTTACGCCAGCCAGTCGCACGCATGCTTATGCTGCCTGCGTGAGCGACTATGTGTGGCTCCACATATAAGAACCGCTGCCAGCCTTACGTGCTCCGTCGCTGAGCAAGGTTACTACGAAGGAAAGAGTTTGCGCAATGCCGTTCAGGACTCCCATTATGGATACGGAAAATAAGATTCTTCAAAGCTTATGGAGTAGGTTTGTGTGAGATTTTTATAAGGTTTTGGGGACCTGTCATTCCCAGCCCCCAGCGCCGCATGCGAAGTCTGCCCGGAACGCGGCAGGACGACACTCCGTTTGCAGCCGTACTAGGTACTCGGAAATAACAAGTATTTTAGGGACAAGCACATTAGTAAATTAAATGTACGCATTCACTCAGGAGATTAGCGTTGGAATGCGCATATAATTTGCAACATTTGATAACGTCTCTGTTGGATATAATGCAGTACTGTAAACAAATGACCGGCCGTATTTGCCTACAAGACCATGCGAACAGATTTCCATAATTCTTCACCATCAAGGAAATCATCAAGGAAATCGCCTCCTGCTAGCAAAATGGTCATTCGTGAACATTACCTATTATGCTATAATAGGTAACCGTATGTGCCTGTCAGGCCATTTCCGTCCTTTCAATTGTTAATCTATATTGTTAAACAGCTGGCTTGTCCGCTTCCATGGCCTTCCAGTAGTGGCTCGTATGTTCCTTGCAAAATGAAATCGATTGCATAGCTGTGACAGTTGTCGAAAATATCTGAAGTGCATATATCTAGAGCTGGAAGGGCTGAGTAACTAGTACAGTTGCCTCTTTATGACTAGAACGCTGTTGGGTTCCAAAACACATTCGCACAGCATTGTCCAAACAGCGAATGAGAAACGGTATTGTGGATAAATTATTTTTTTTCGACGATGGAAGGAGCACAAATGAGGAAGATAAACCCGGAACAATGGACATCCGTGCCTCCTGACGCGCGCCAGCGTACAACAACTTATAACATAGTAATGGATTAATAGTGCGAGTGCTCTCCCTTCTTGCTTCAAGCCGTGCATGGCAGACCTTCCTGCAGCTGGAGGTTTCGCCCTTTCGTCCTGAAATCCGCGCGCTCCGTCAGCAGCAAGTTCCCTACTTCTTGCTACTACTATGCCTGATTTTCTATCTGCTGTGTGTTCTATGCACCTCCAAAGAATTAACTGCTAACCGTCGGAGCCGATGCCGGTGGGCGGTGTGTGGCCGCCATCCGCCTTGGCCTCGCCCTGTCGCAGATTTAAGATCAATTAATATTAAAAAACAAATTTCCCTCCATATTTTTTCGCATTTTGCGCAACGCCTCCACTTGTGTGTAGGGGTGTTCGGTCCCCTACGCAATCAGGGGTAGTTAACAGCAGATGAGTGAATAGCCACAGGACCTATCGCACTGCCCAAACGTGTTATTCAGAAAGCAACGCGTCAATGGCGCAGCACTATTTGAATCTGGTTGCCTGTCTACGTCCTTTCGCCTGCAATAATGATAGGGCAAACCTTCTCTGTGTAGGCAACGCAGACAATTGCGACATCGATACACGTAACTTAATTCCAAAATCATAATAACTTAGATTTGCGTAGATATATAAGATTTGATCCAGGCTCCAAAGAGAATTAATGGGGCCACTGTTTCACCACACTAATTGCTCACGACTTCAGCAGGCAAGTCAGCTACAGGGTCATCTCTCAGCATGCGCAAAGAAACTTAAAGATGCAGCTTCTGCAAAGGCTATAAGGGATGACTCAACACAGAAGATGCATGGGCAATCCTACCAGCTGCTAATGCCGTCGCGCGTCGCCGTGTGCGTGCACGTGAATGGTAGGTGGGGAAATTTCACCATTTCCCTGAAGACGCAAACTACATGAGGGAGATCGCCTTAAACCGGCCAGCCGGCAGTACACGCAAGCGCGCTCATAGTGAGTAGAGACAGGTCTTGAAATAAACAGTTTACTCAATCCTGCTATGTGCCACAAGCAAGCGTGCTTAGAATGAATGGATGTCCTCGCGATAACGGCAAGATTGCGCTGTTCCATTTTCCTTTAGTCGGCGTACGCACATTTGTATGTAGGAATGAATTATTGAGTGTTGGTACTATGGGCCCGAACGGATCACAGGTACTGCCCGTAACCCTACATGTAGGCCCCGAAGTGAAAGGCGACCAGCCCAGACAGCCCCCAGGAGTCTCCCAAACACCAAACAATCAGAGACAACTCTCCCCTGCATCGCTCTGTTTATGGGAAGACCACATGCAGGGCCAGAGGCCCGCGATAGACGTTCCGGAGTGGAAATTGCCAAAAAAGGCAACGGAACTATTAGGCACCTACCACCAAGCTTCGCACCCCGCGCACGCCCCAGGGCTCTTCAAGGCTTAGATGGGCACAGGGGCTCCTGGATTACTCCACGCAAACCACTCGGTCACGCACGCATACACATAGTATAAACCGACTCCAAAACCACTATAAGCCAGGCTGCGGGGAGTTATGTAACCCCAACGTTCCTCACAATCCAGGTGGCGCCGCGATGCCTCCCCATATCGGACGAAACGAACCACAAATCGCCACACACACAAGCCGGCCGCACGCAACCCGCATATCATCGGGTGGCTGGCCTTGGGGCCCCCACCGAGTCCCATATCCGCCGCCCCAGGAATGCGAAGGCATGACAGAAATCCGAAACCGGCCGACCTATCGCTCTTGGCCTTCAATAGCGGCCGCCTCCCGCACCAAAGGAACTAGCCCATGCATTTTCAGATAGTAGAAGAAGCTAGAAGAGTTGAAGAGTTTGTGCATTTATGGATTGATTAAAGGGGTGTTTCCACTTGGATTAAAATCACGGATTAAAGATTTTAATCCGCGCCAATCCGCCGTAATCCACGAGGAATTCATATGCCTGGATTACGAAATTCATACGTCTGGATTAAGGAACGGATTGAAGTAGACATTTGCCATTCCGTGCATAAAATGCAAAAACGAGTATTGCCAGACATTAAAAAGGCTATCGAGTATCAACATGAAGGCTTTGCAGCACCTTTGAACGACACCCACGGTGTGGTGCGTAATGCCGAACAAGAAGCGCAAAGCTTCCATAAAACTAGGAATACCTACAGCCTTTCAAAAGGATAACCTGTTGTGAACATTCGAGTAGTTAATGTTTATTCGGTCAGACCTGGTTAATTCTGTATCTTGTTGCTACGACGAGGATCTGTACGACACCATTTATATATGTGTGTGACAGAAGGAGAATTCACTAGCTGTGTAACGGTATATGCGAGAGACGCTCGAGTAAACGACTCAGGAGCAGTACGCATTAGGGTTATCAGCTCAGGATTGTACAACTGTAAACCAAACCTGCAGGTTATGAGCCCCGCCCATAGGTGACGGGATGGAAGCAACCACTACGCGGCTGGTGTACAGCGAAAGGCTGACAATGAAGAATTCCAACCTATCAGTCAGGCTTTTTATGAGGCGTCGTAATAAGTGTTAGGGTGTATTTCCAGTGCGGATTAAGGCCAGGGATTAGCGTTAATCCCTGTGCTAATCCCAGCAGTGGAAATCCCACCGGGATTAAGCAGGACTAGCCGGGGATTAAGAAATTCCTCAGGACACCGTGTTCTCTATTCAGAGGACTAGCAGGAGTTAGCAAGAGATTAGGAAAGAACATAAACTGAACTTGATGTCCATGCATTTACCTGGCAACTTGTGACAAAAAAGTTATTACCTGGCCCCACCCAGATAGTATTTCCGTATCTGGATTAGCATTCATGGCGTCATATCTTATTTTAATTTCTAGGTAATTCCATATGGATGACCTCAAGTAAGCAATATCTGATTTGGTTTGCTCGAAAGGCGTAGACTTCTCGTTGCGAGAAGGCGGGTTCTTGGACGAAGATGTTACTCGTTGTACTGTCGTACTGTTTTCAGTATGGATATTATACTGAACTGCGTTCTGTTTTGGCTATTCGCCGTTTCGTGACCTTAGGTTCATGCTATCATTATAAACCTTTTAATTTCTCCACAACACTTCGCGTAACCAACGCAATGGCTGATCAAATCTTGCCTGCTAACATTCCAAACAACAACATTCAAAACAACCATAACAATGTAGTCATTCCGCCCCCTGCGGCAGCTCAAGGCGTGCCAGCGCAGGTAGTAGAGCAGCTGATACAACATCAGAACTTCAATGCCGTCTTTACAAATATTAACGCGGGCAGGGAGGAGGCCCTGTCGAGAAGATATACAGACCTAGAGCAGAATCGGGAGGCGTCGTGCCCGAAGGCGGTCAAGTTCATGGCGGCATGGATTCGGGACATCGGATCCAAAGTCTACTCAGCACATTCAGCGCTAAAAGTCATTCAGGCTACAGTCGCGGACGTTGGGCCTGTCGTGGACATCCTCCAACAAAGCATCTTCATCATGGACTTGCTCTACGCGTCCTGCGACGCTGGTGGTCGGTGCCACCAGTATCATCTAGAAGTAATGCAGCAGTACTTCAACAACAACCGACATCAAGCCGTCAGTCCGACGGCAGAAGTCAAGGCGGATACAGACCGACTCTACGACTGTGGTGAGGATCGCTTCCGGCGCGCTGTCCGGGACGTTAAGGACCGGATGGGGACTAACCCGCTGCAGGAGGTGCAGAACTTTGGCGGCCGTGGCAACAGCCGCAGCCGGGGTGGATACGGGGCCCAGCGCTTTCACCCCTACCAAGGCGGCGGGGCATACCCCAACTTTAGCGGCCACCAACAGTTCAGTGGCCAGCCGCAGTTTGGTGGTCAGCAGCAGTACCACCAGCCCCCGCCCATGGGGCCTATGATGCCGGCCGGCCGTGGCCGTGGCCGGGGACCAATGTGAATGACGCCAACTAGGGTCCGGACACGCGGCATGCGATATGCGTAGGCGTTAGGTAGAGCGGTGTAGTTAGACACGCAGCCCATCCTTAATTGCGGATATTGCGATTGGCGGACCTCATTCTATATCATCCTATCCACAACTCGCCCCGACCGAATGAAGCGCTAATAGGCTGCATCATTACACGAGGGTCGCCGTTACCCGCACGATCTTGGTTGGCCACGTGCCACATCGCGATTAAATCTAATTCGGGCTATGACGCCTACAAGCGAGCGAGATTTACGGCAACAGGCCATTTGACGTATATCAGACCCTACAAGGCTGCGGGCCTACCATGTAATATTTACGGCCTTATGTGCCCTTTCTTTTTGTTAATCCAGGCTGTAAGCCTCGAATGAGAGCGATGAAAGACACTCGCGTGCATCAGGGAGCGATAGCAAATGCAGCGCGTTCGCTTAGATTAGTGTAGAGAGTTAGCAGTACGACACAATCTAGGGGCAGCACGCGTTAGCATAGCGTTGTAGAAAGCGGCATCGCAATCAGCTCGTCATAAAACATCACAAACTTGGTACTCTATAACATCACCACTTACATACGTGCAACATACTCAGCCTTCTGCTCCAATTTTACATACTATGTCACGCGTTCCTAGGCTTGTCATTCCTGGTATTACATATAGTACTCAGCAGACTCAGCAACCACAGGCGCCGCTTCCACCGCGACCTGCATCAGCATCCGCACCAGCAGCAGCTGTGGTCTCGACGAGTTGGGGCGTTCCGAGGCTAGTCGTGAACTTCAGCTCGGCTGCAGACGTTCAGGCAGCATCCCAACACCAAGCACCGGCCCGCCGACCCGAAGCAATTAACGCTCAGATTGAAGCTTCAAACGAATCTAAAGAAGTAACTATCCAGAAGCCCATGGTGAGACGCCATTTATTTAAATGCCACTTCACAAACACATTTACAAGGGATAGTAAGTGACTCTTCTATACATGCGCTTGGTAGCAGGTCCAGAATACCGACGATCCTAGCACCGTCCCGAGCTCGGAGCAAACGGCTCCAGTGCGGACCGGGAAGAGCCAGGTGGACGTTCGGCGTGGCCAAGCCCACGATGAAGCACTTGCAGCGGCAGGTGTGCACGATCTGCTAGACGGCCCAGCAGAAGTCGAAAGCTCCGACCGACCAAAACCTCAACGCTTTATGAGGGGACGCTTGAAGGCGCATTATAGGTTCTGGGCTTCGTTCGTCAAAAACCCGTTGGTATTGAAGTGGATCCTCGTGGGGTCTCCCCTTTTTTGGATAGCGTCACAACCAGCTCCCTTTTTCGCAGCGAACCACGGTTCCACCCAGGAACACACTTCATTCGTGAGTGAAGCGATCGCAGAACTCGTTCAGACAGGCACAGCCCTTCGCGTCGCAGAACAGCCCCACTGCGTATTGCCTTTGGGAGTAGCTGTGCGTAACAACGGAAAGAAGCGATTAATCCTGGACGCTCGGTACCTAAACGAGCACGTCGTTAAGCCGAGTTTCAAGTACGAAACACTATCGTCCCTACAATACATGCTTCAGCCCAATGACTACGCGTTTACCATAGATTTCAAGAGCGGTTACCATCACCTCGACATGGACCCAAAGTTTTGGACTTACCTAGGTTTTCAGTGGAAAGGTCAGTTTTACGTATTCACTCAACTTCCATTCGGTCTAGCACCGGCGTGCTGGGCCTTCACTAAGTTAACGAGGGAGCTATTGAACCGGTGGCGCTCTGAAAGCCATCGCTGTGCAGGGTATTTGGATGATAGTGTACACGCGCATCAGTCCCCTGATGCTTTAGCTCGAATTCAAGAAAGGGTACTCCTCGATTGTGAGCACGCTGGTGTCTTGGTGAGCCTCGAAAAGTGCCAACCGATTTCCCAAGAATTCCAGTATCTGGGGGCAATAATTAATACGGTAACTGGCACCATGACCGTACCCAGCCATAAGCGGGATGTGTTGATGCACACGATTGATGGCCTGCTAGTTAATCATGCTCGATGTCAGATCCGGGCAGTTGCTTCTGTAGTCGGTCACATCATGTCGATGAGTTATTCCTTTGGTGAAATGTCTGTCCTGATGACCCGGCGGCTATCGCAATGGGAAAGTGAAATGTTGCGGCAAGGCCATGCTTTGCATCACCACATGCCTTTGTACGCAGACGCAATTCAGGAGTTAGAATTCTGGCGCGAGTCGTTCATGCGGTATGATGGCCGAAGGCCAATCTGGCGTCCGTCTTTCATGCATACGATAAAAGTCTTCACGGACGCAGCGGGTGCCAGTACCCGTCAGTGCACAGTGTCATTTGGCGGTTGGGGCGGTTGGGCGGACTTACCATCACAACCGAAAGCAGCAGGCCCTTGGCTAATCGACACTCGGGGCTCATCGTCCGGTTACCTCGAGCTGAATGCCGTGTTAAACGTGCTGAAAAGCATTAATAAGGATGGCCAATTATCGAATCAACGGGTTTTGCTCCATACCGACAGCCAGGTCGCAGATAATGCACTGCGTAAGGGAGGCTCCATGTCAGACGCTATCCAGTCAATATGCTTCCAGGTGTTTTGGTATTGCGTCAAGCATAACATCGACCTCGTCACCACGTGGATTCCGAGAGAGCAAAATGGCCTGGCGGACGATCTTTCTAAAAGGGATGATGCGTGTGACTGGAAGTTGCATCCAGAGGTGTTTGATTCCATCAATCAAGAGTGGGGACCTTTCTCGGTTGACCTGTTTGCATCTGATCACAATTACCAGCTTCAACCATACTATACGTTTTTTCACACTCCGGGTACTTCGGGTGTTAACGCGTTTTCGTTACCGTGGCCTCAGAGAGCATGGTGTAACCCACCTTTCGCAGTAATGAGCCGGGTCTTGGCATACGCAGCGCTATGTCGCACCTCCATGACACTAATTGTACCTTTTTGGCCGGGGGCCATTTGGTGGCCAGCACTCATAGAAAACGAGTTTGTTTTTCGTTCATTTGTATGGGGATGTTGGGTGCTGCCGAGGCGCCCGGATTTGTTCCTAGATCGCCAAGGCGAAGGTCATCTCACGAACTGGGGTGTGCTAGCTCTTAACGTGGATTTTTCGCGCGACTGTCCGTACGCGGTCCCGGTCCCAATTCGTCACTGACTACCGGCAGGGGAGGACATCAAGACCTTAGTGCGGGAGATGCTGAACGGCAGCATACTGACACAACACCCGCAGCTAGTCGCCCTGGTGGACGCTATGATCGAGAGCGCACATCTAACCCGAGCGGCAAGTACGTGGCGGCTCTACGAACCAGTTATCCGGAAATGGGTGTCGTTTTGCACCTCCATGGGGGAACCTCCTTTAGGCGCAAGCGGGATAGTCGCTGCAGCATTCTTGACAAAAGTACGGCAGGATGCAGCGGCGCGCAAAGTGGGGCACCAAGCAGTGGATCGGGCCAGCGCGGCAGTGTCTGCTTTTCACGAGCTGGCAGGCTTGCCTACCCCATGCTTACATCCCTTGTGTGCCGGAGTCCGGGAAGTCGCCCGTCGGACACTGTCGGCAACCCCCAGGAACCTAGACGTCACAACCCCGACGGAAGTGTCGCAACTGGTGGAATACCATATCCGCGAAGGTGTACCTTTACTCACTAGAATGGTCGTCACAGGCGCAGTACTCGCATTCTGCGGCTTGCTCCGCTTTGACGATCTAAGCCACGTGCTGGTGCATACTGACCTGCTTCGCATCTACGGAGATCGAGTGGAGATCTTTTTATTTAAAAGCAAGACCGACCAGCACTGCAAGGGAGCCTTTGTGACTATCGGCAGAATCGGCGGGCCATGCTGCCCGGTGCTTCTTTTGGAGCAGCTGCTGGAAGCAGGTCACTACCAGCGGACACCACGCACGTCGGTGCGGCGCAACGGAGTTGAAGCCGATGCAGAGGATGTCGGCCCATTGCTGCGCGCCGTCAACGTCCGGCGCAACTGCCTAGAGGAGGTCGTGGCGGCACTCCCGTCTACGGTCGAGGCTATGCCTTATCGCAAGTTCCGCGACACGCTCCGGACGCTATGCGTGGAGGCAGGCATGCGGCGCGACTTGTGCCCACACTCCCTGCGCCGTGGGGGCGCCACGGCTCTCGTGCAAGGCGGCGCTGACCGGGCAGAAGTGCAAAAGCTGGGGCGGTGGAAGAGCAACACCGTTTTCGAGTTCGCATATGTCCGTGAGGATGGGGCGCGGCGGCGAGCAGTGACGGCACGAATCCCGCTAGGGCATATTCCCCGTAGCACCTAGACAGTCGGTTGCTTTCAAGAGTCCGGTGGTTGAGTGCCTAAGTGTCACGGCCGGCCACTGGTCCAACTTGAAATAACCGGTCATTAGTGGGGGGGCGCAGGGGTTAAGCCGATCAGCACGGAAAGCCGGGGGATGCTAAGCCGATCAGCGGGGCAGTGTAATCGAGGCGCAAGCCGCGGTTCGGAGTGGTGGTTGATGCAACTACGGTGGTAGATAGGTAGCACGGTGGCAGCGTCGGTTGGGGCCAGACCCGGTGGCATCGCTGCTGTGGTCCGTTTTAGTGTTAACATAGTGTAACAATGAGGACAAGAAGCGTAGACTTCTCGTTGCGAGAAGGCGGGTTCTTGGACGAAGATGTTACTCGTTGTACTGTCGTACTGTTTTCAGTATGGATATTATACTGAACTGCGTTCTGTTTTGGCTATTCGCCGTTTCGTGACCTTAGGTTCATGCTATCATTCCCGCCCTCTCCACCCAGTTTTTTGGGACTTTTTGGCTTTCAGCCCCGGGCGTTGGCGCGTTCGGTGGTTGAGTGCCTAAGTGTCACGGCCGGCCACTGGTCCAACTTGAAATAACCGGTCATTAGTGGGGGGGCGCAGGGGTTAAGCCGATCAGCACGGAAAGCCGGGGGATGCTAAGCCGATCAGCGGGGCAGTGTAATCGAGGCGCAAGCCGCGGTTCGGAGTGGTGGTTGATGCAACTACGGTGGTAGAT